ACAGGGGGCGCCTGCTCACCTTCAGACCAGTCCTCGACCTCAGGCTGAGCAGCAGTGAAGTCGGGAGCCGGAGCTGTCCGTTCACCCTGATAAATTCCTCCTTGGTCACAGCCTTTTCAGCAGCAGCCTGCACTTCCTTCTCAATCTTTCCAGGCTCTCTGTAGAAGTAAAGATCAGGCATGACCTCCCGTGGCTGTTCACGGGAGAGGGTGCTGTGTGCAGTACTTCCTGGGTCAGCATCCACCACATCAGACCCACCAAGTGTTCCCCCTTGTTGTTGCAAGGGCTGGCAATGTCCACGTAGCTCAGAGGAGTCTGTGTTACGTAGAACAGTGGTAGGCAGGTTAGCATAAGACGCCTCTGTGAGAGGCTGGTGGTCAGTCTTGGGAGCAGTAACCACCAGAAGTCTCGGTTCCCGGAAGGCTGCCTGAATCTGGTTAGTGAAGGTTCCAGAAGTAGCCGGCATTAGGGGTGGTTCCAGTGGCAGCATCAAACTTCAGCACAGCTCGCTGGCCAATATTCCTGACATCAGCAGGGTTTTCAATGGCAACAATGGCATGAGCCGCCAGCAGAAGCTTCTCTACCAGGTTCTCTTCAGATTTATGATGTAGATGCCATCACTCTTCCTTTTGTAGATGTACTGTTCCATTTGGAAGTCAAGGTTGGTACCACCTAAGTGGGTTCCTGCTGCAAGGAATTTGAGGACATCCTCCTCTTTCATTTGCAGGACATCAAGAGCTCTGGGCACTGTGAAAGTTTCCCTCTAAGTTACATAGGAACTGAGAACACCAGATGGGTCCCTCTCTGGGTAGTGTGAAAATGCACTATAATCTTTTTTTGGTTGAGAAAAAATGAGAAAGCAGGAGGAGGCCCAGAGGAAGACAAGATTATAATGTATAGATAATAAAATCATGCTGTAGCCATATTTATGCTAAAATTTTTGATGCCTCTCATGTTGAAAAGCAGCATGTAAAATATGTATTTAAATATGTTATTAGTATTAAACACATGTAAGATAGTACCCAGAACATACTGGGTGTTTTACAAATGTTTATAGCTAAGTTCTTTATTTTGTAAAATGTTACTTTATTACAGAAAACATTCTTATCACACTAATACAGAAAAGTCTGGCCTGGAATGATAGGCAGAGCAGATGTTAATTGGCCATGCCCAATATTTCTGAGATAATGGCGGGACTTTCTTAGCCTCTGAAAATCACTTTAAACACACTTACCTCCTAGCTTCCCAGAGTGCCAAGAGTCACAAAGTTCATACTTGACCTAGCCTGGATGTTAAAGTGGTTATTTAACTCATTAATTCAAGCATTAATCAGATCAAGGTCATGACTTTGATTATTATATGAACCAGTGTCACTTTTGTTCCAGAACCTCAGCTGCATCTAGATCTCAGCTAGTTTTATTGTAAATATGGGTCATCTCCAGAAGGACTAGAGGGAGAAATTCAAAACTCACAACTACTTGAGGGAGAAGGGATACCATCAAAACACTTGTCTATAGGATTATCTTTATGTAAGTGATTATTGTTAGAATGAAGAGCTGGGGGAACTGTCAACCAGGGAAGTCAAGAAAGCCACAACTGAAAGTTATCAATATAAAGCACTGACATGGGTGGTTTCAGATGTTCACTGGAAATGTTAAAATTCTCAAGAATCCCTAAGAAAGTCTCACTACCAATCTCGAGCTCATTGGGAAGCTGTAGTGACTCAGTGTCTATGGCAGTCTGGTTGCAGCTGATTTCCTGTAAAGTGTGCTTCTCTGGCCCAATGGTTGGCTTGTCCATGTTCATTGCTTTAGGCCAATGGAATAAGAGCAATTTGACTTATGCTACATCCAAGCAGGAGCTTAAAATGTATTTGTAAGTTATGGTTTGGTGTCTTGCTCCTGCCCTTTACTATGAGAATTGTATGTCCCAGATAGGGACTATTCTATCAGCCTAGTGCCAGAAGATGATGTCTGGAGCAGAGTCAATCTAGCAGAGCTCAATCTCAGTTGAGCAGAGCTGCAGCTGATTCACAGACCCATGAACAAGAAATAAAGGTCTGTCATAAGTCACTAAGATTTTGCAGTTGCTTGTATTAGTCTACGCCCAGGGAATACTAATGTAAGATTTTATATATTCATCCTCTTTAATTATATCCTTCCTTTCTATATCTAATATGTCTTTAAGATTCTCTTGTGATAAAGAATTTAGAGACCAAGTTTCTAACTCCAGTTCAATTTTCTTTTTATTAAAGTACTTCAGTAAATAAAGTGTTATCAGCAACACAAACTTTACTGAAATATTCACAAATAAAAACCCTCTACTTAATCACTTAAATAATGTTCTTCTATAGAGTAACAGCAATCATGCTTGGAAGCTGATTAACCTGAATTTATTCCTAACCACACACATGGATTCCCAAAATGAGATATTCAAACTGGTTACCTTAACATATGAGGCTCGATACCTGAATACTAGTCCCAGCAAGTCAGTGGGAAAATGGTGTAATTTGAAACTAATCACTTACCCCTGGTGCCACAATTTCTCCATCTGCACTGAGAATCTTCCCTCAGAGATGATTTGTAAGTATGGAATGTTAAGGCTTATCATACTTGTAAGCCTTAGGAAGCATTCATGTGCATACTTTTAAAAGGACAACTTATGCCCGGCTGGGCGTGGCTCAGCTGTTGAGCATTGACCTAAGATCCAGGAGATTGTGATTTGATTCCCAGTCAGGGCACTTGCCCAGGTTGCAGGCTCGATCTCCAGTAGGGGGCGTGCAGGAGGCAGCTGATTAATGATAATGCTCATCATGATGTTTCTAGCTCTCTCTCTCCCTCTTCCTTCCTCTCTCTGAAGTCAATAAAAGTATAGTTTAAAAAATTAAAAGGGCAACTTATTTGTTCTTGACACAAAATAAATACTATATGGCTTTAAAAGAAATTGATGATTGCTCTTTCCTTGAAAATTATCTTTTTACTTAAATCACATTAAAATTATAGCTAATAGGGTTCACAATGATATGTTCAGTAAATTATTTTGATTGCAATGAGGACTACTGTCCTATTCAGGCAAAATTTACAAATTATTTTAAGAAATTTCATGCATTACATACTTACATGACCTTTCCATAAAAACAGAAATCCTGCTACCCTAAAAGCACAAGGAGGTGAAACCCAAGCTTTAATTAGAGTTTTGGTATACTGGAGTTCCTTTGGATATGGTTTGTAACGCAATCATGACTTCCAGAGAAACTGGATAACAAAGGACAGAGTATAAATAAGTCAATTTTGATTAGACCTCCTGGCACAATTAAGTGGCCTGGTGCTTTCATATAAAAGATTCAGTAGTGTCTACATTAGGGGGAGAGGGGATTTAAAGTAAAAAGCTTGAAAATACAGATGACAATTGTGGGGGTAGAAGAGAAAATAATCCTGATTGAATCATACTTTTCTAAAAATCTTGTTTCTGCTGGGAAGTATGTGATTCTGCTGTAAGAGAAGTTTAAAGAGGTTGGTACAACAACCCTTATATTTTCAAAGAAATGTGCAATAATTTTAGGTAGAAACAGTATTGCTAAATCTCCGCATGACACTTTGAAACCACTAGCAGAAAAAAAGAGACGAAAATCATTAATCAACATAGAAGAAAAATGATAAGCTGTTTTGCTGTTCAATAATCAATCATGCAAATAGACACACCATATCAATAAATAAAACCTCCTGTAGTTAACTGGTCATTTAAAAAATGAATTGGATGAAAATAATTTTCTGCAGCGTACTAAGTCATTTTAAGACTAAGGTAGTTTCAGAAAAAAACATGGAAGATCCTTACAGGAGGCCTGTTTCATACTGGTTGTGGCAGAGCACTCCATGCCCTATACAGAGTACATAAGGAAATAATTTTCATACTGAACACAGATCTCTTAGAGAATCAAGGAAAAACACTACACAATATACCTTTCTATAACATGCAGTATTTAGGTAATAGTAAATCATCATCCTTCACAAAGAAAGTGGAGGAGCTCTAAAATCATCTTAGAGCTAATGACTTTAGAAAGAGGTGTCAAAATTTTAATTCTTAACTGAGGATGTTTTTCACTGATTCTAGAGAGAAGGGGAGAGAGAGAGAGAGAGAAAGAGAGAGAGAGAGAGAAATGTGAGAAACATGGTTTGGTTGCTTCCTGTACATGCCCTGATCAGGGATCAAACAGGCAACCTGGGTATGTGCCCTGACGGGAAGTTGAACCTGTGACCCTTTGCTGCACGGGGCAATGCTCTAACCAACTGAGAGACACACTGGCCAGGGCTAGTGCCAAAATTTTAAATTAAAAAAAAAAAGACTTGCCCTGGCTGGTGTTTCTCAGTGGATAGAGTGTTGGCCTGCGAGCAGAAGGGTCGTGGGTTCGATTCCTGGTCAAGGGCATGTACCTGGATTGTGCGTTTGATCCCCAGCCCTGGTTGGGGCATGTGCGGAAGGCAACCACATCAATGGTTCTCTCCCTTTCCCTCCCTCCCTTCCACTCTCTCTAAATATCAATGGAAAAAATATCCTTGGATAAGGATTTAAAAAAAAACTTAATTTCAAAGTTGGTTTTGCCAAACCTAGGAATCCAGGGTGAGGAAGAAGAAAATGTTCTCCCTCTTTTATGATACGCACCTCCCACTACCACGATAAATGCCATGGACCAAATGTCATCATAAACTTATTCGCACTCTTGGGGCCAACAAAGGCTAGGCTGGTTCTAGGTAAAACTAAAGCAGAGAGCAGTTCCACAAAAAAAGCATGTGAAGGACTGGTCCAACAGATTTCCACAGCCACCTGGCACCCGAATGACCCCAGGGTAAGTTCATCAATTTTTTGTCACTCAGGATCCTAGCCTTGCACTATCTCCAGGCACAATAGCCCCCAGAAAACCCTGAACTACACTGGATGTCCTTCGACTGAGCCAGCTCTCCCCTGGACAAGCATTTCTAGAACTGGAAACAAAGGCTGAATGAGCAGGGTAGGCAGAGCACCATTTATTGGAGCCAAACCCCATCTATCAGATGCTTTGTTGACAAGAGCTCAGTGATTCTGGAGCAGCTCTTCCCAACAGATGGGCTGTGAAAACACCTCTCTTTCCAGCCAGATCTCATATGAGTAGTGGAAATCCTCAGGCAGATCCAGCCTCTGTCCTAGCACACTCTGCAAGCAGTTATCCACAGGTGAAAATTCAGAGTCCTGAGGTCTGTCATATCGGCGGCTATTAAAAGCTTCAATGTTGGCCCTCAAGGTGCATTCTTCTGCTTGGAAGTCCCATGGCCTGGCATCAATGTCTGTGATGGGAAGAGAGAGAGAAAAAGATGTACACAACTCAGGATACTGCTCCCCTTACCAGAGCATGGTCTATAGGATACCAACAGTGGAACTGTTCAGAATTTCCTTTTCTGTAAAAAGCAATGTAAAAAGTAAGTAAATAACGTGCTGCCACTCAGGTTTAAAAAATACACACATGTCCACACATATATGCTTATATATACAGGCTATTTTTGGAAGGGTAGTCTGGAAACTGGTAACAGTGATTACCACTGAGAAGAAAATGAGGACCCTGAGGGAGGTGTTATGTCTTTTATTGTATTTCCTTTTCATTAATTTACTTTCTTACTAGTTATATGTATAGTAAGTCAGTGACCCAATTTTAACATAGGCTAATTGATATAAATGAGAGTTAAGTTCCAAAGGCATCTCATCAATGTTATAATGAAATGATGTTGAACAAAATGATGTTATTTGAGGACCTGCTGATTATATTTTCAAAATGGTAACTCAGTTCCCTTTCTTGAACTTTCTCAGGGATGAGAGTTTCCCATTTGAATGGCATCACCAACTCCCAAGGAATGTGAAAAGGCAGGAAGGAGTACAACAAGGAGAACTAGAATGAACCAATTAAAGACTTTTCCTGATTCCCTGGGACCTCCCTCAGCTTATATTATGAGATTAAGGCTTCCATGGAGGTAATAACAGAAAACAGATATTCTATTTTATTTCTATTTATCCCACTTAGACTCTTATTGCAGGGCCAGAGACACACATTTCCCAGATCTCTTATTCCCATACTCAATGGTTTATCATAAAGAAGTGCAGTTAGGATCTTGGCTCATGATGGCAGCAACAACAGACGTGCCATTTGCAGGATAAAACATTTTCATATTTTAGAAAACTGTAAGAATCTGAATAGTTAATTGTGTTTCATGTCTTATAGAAATTGCATCCTGGTTTGTTATCTGCCAATTGTATGCTTCCCTTTGTTCTCTGCACTCTTTACTGCAGCATCCTCTCAAATTCAGGCCTGTTGCAAATCCCAGCATCATTGAGTATTGGAATAAGAGATCTGGGAAATGCGTATATCTCTGGCCCTGAAATAAGAGTCTAAGTGGGATAAATAGAAACAAAGTCATCAGTCATTTTACCAAAAACTCTTAAATGTAATTATGCAAATAATGGTCAAACCCACTAAAACAAATGTCAATACAATGAAAATAAATTCTTCCAAACTCTGGTCAATTTTAGCATAAGTTTTGGTAGGTCAACTAGATATTACAATGTCTCCTGATATGAGGCAATATGCAGCTCCCAACATTACCTAGAATGTACTATAGCCAAAAAGTTTTAAATTGAATTCATCAAACCTTTAGATCTAACTTTCAGTTTATATGTAATACCAGAGCAGTGATTTTCAACCGGTGTGCCATAAGAATTTTAAAACATGCAGTACCTGACTATTTAGTCAGGGGCACTGACCTCTTTTCCCTCAGGTTGTCAAATTAAAAAAATGACAACAGCCAACATAACAATAGCTGTCCAGTGTGAATGAATCAAAATCATACCTATTTATTTTGTCAGATAAGCAAAAAATACATTTTTTGGTGTGCCACAGAATTTTAGTAATTAGTTCACATGCCATGAGATGAAAAATGTTGAAAATTGATGAGATGGAGGAGTAAGGTAAACAACACCACAAAGAAGCAAGTAGACAAATCCAGACGGTGGCTATTCTGCAGGAAGCTTGTCCTAGTTCTTCAATTAGTCAGTGTCATAGGTGGGGGTGGTGGGTGGAATGACTGGTAGATTCAAAACTAATAAAAGGATATAACAACCAGATGGAATTTGTGGTACTGGGTTGGATTATGACTTGGAAAAAATAGCTTTAAAAAACCTTGGGGCAACTGGGGAATTCTGAACATAGGCTTGATTATTAGATAAAATCTAAAAGTGTAGTGATATAGAAAGGTAGAGATTATGTTAACTAAAAAAGATTATAGCTCTGGCTGGCGTGCTCAGTGGTTAGAGCAATGGCCTGCACTGAAGGGTTGTGGGTTTGATTCCTGATCAAGGGCATGGATCTGGGTTATAGGTTCCATCCTGGCGAGGTCAAGGTGCATACAAGAGACAAACAATCCATGTGCTTCTCTTACATCGATGCTTATCTCTTTTCCCCCTGCCCTTCCTCTCTTCCACTCTCTCTAAAAAAAAACAATGGAAAAAAAATATCTTAAAGTGAGGATTAACATAAAAAGAGATTATAAAATACCAGGTACAGGCCATGCTCTTCTTGGCTCAGCTTGGCCGCATGTCTCCCAAGTCCATATGGCCACCATTCAGCAGCTGGTAGGAAGATGGCTCTTAGACGAGTACTTGTGTAGTAGGACAGTAAAAAGCTAGAAAAATTCCTAGGCAAGTGGAATGGGGAAACTAAGACAAGGCCAAACAGTATGGGCAGCTTGCAGCCAGCTTGTGAATTACAAGACCTTATTTTCTCACTCGAGAGCAAACGGTTTATACCCTCCCCCCTAACCAGAAAATACATAGCTTAAATCACCATGGCCTGGGAAAATAAAGAACAAAGAACCAATTAATGCCACTTGTACCAGCTAAACCCAAGGACAGATGAAGTTGGGTAACAAATAGCAAAACCTCATTAAAGCTAGACAGACCTAAGATAAAACAGTAAAACGGACCAAAGAATAATCCAAAACTCCTCTGTACACTCATTTTAATGCATTGGCCTATTAAAAATGCACCTGGAAAGCTGATGAAGATTCCACTGAAACCCTCCCCTAAGAGTCTCACCTGAAGGAAAAAAAGGGTAAAAAGCCCTCAGGACAAAGACTAAAAGCGGCCTGCTCTAGAGCACGCCCAGGCCCCCTCCTGGGGAGTGGGGGGCAGGGCAGCTCAGCCCAGGCTCACCCCCTGATCCTGTCTCCAAGGTCCCCTTTTACTCTGACTTCCCAGTGAGCAAAGGCAAAGGCGGGGCTGCCTTGGCTCTCTTCTTTCCTATAACGCTTCTAGAGAGCCAAAGCAGAGCACCGCCTAGGCTCTCCCCTGTTGTTTTTTTACCTTAATTTCTTCCTTTGTTTCATTGTCCCCAGCATTAATAAACACTCTCAAGCCCATCTGGACTTATGTTGTGAAATCTTTCCTGCACAGGGTCAAGGACCCACACATTACAGGTCGGCCCCTGTCTGGTAACATCTGAAGGAACTAGGAGTGGCTCTGCAGAAAATGGGTGCCATGGCCAAACCAGACTGTGTCATCAATTCTGCTGGCAAAAACCTTACCATGAAAACTGAGAGCACGCCCTAGTCAGTTTGGCTCCACGGTTAGAGCGTTGGCCTGTGCACTGAAGGGTCCTGGGTTCAATTCCTGCCAAGGGCAGGCTCAATCCCCAGCCCCGGTTGGGGCACATGCGGGAAGCAACCAATCGATGTGTCTCTCTCTCTCTCTCTTTCCTTCCCTTCTACTCTCTCTGAAAACCAATGGAAAAAATACACTCAGATGAGGATTAAAAAAAAAAATTTTTTTTTAAAGTTATAAAAAACTGAGAGCACGTTGAAAACGACACAGTTCTCATATAACCTGGGAGAGAAGTTTGAAGAAACTACAGCTGATGGCAGAAAAATTCAGACCATCTGCAACTTTATAAATGGCCCACTAGTTCAACCTCAGGAATGGGATGGGAAAGAAAGCACAATGAGAAGATTGGAAGGTGGGAAATTAGTGGTGGAAGGTGTCATGAACAATGTCACCTGTACCCAGATCTATGAAAAAGTAGAGTAAAAATTCCATCATCCTTCTGGACAAGAATTAGCTGTGAGGATAAACAAGCTCAGTTCAATGAGCAAATCTCTCCATGCTTTTTTAAAAAATTACTGTGTTCAGTTATCTTTATCACAAACATTTTACATGCAACTATTTCCAAATGTTGGTTTAATTAGGATCAACCCTTTGGTTAGCAACTAAATGTATTTATGCTAAAAAAAATTAGCACGTACAATTTGTTTTCATTTGAATAAAATATGTATATACATGTAAAGAAAAGTATCTGGAAAAATATACAATAAGATGCTATCAGTGGCAATCTTTGGGTGGTACAAATATGGAGTAAATATGGTAATATCAAAAATGTGCCCTGGCCAAGTGACTCAGTTGGTTGAAGCGTGTCCCATATGCCAAAAGGTTGTGGGTAGATTCCCGGTCAGGGCACATACCTAGGTTGCAAGTTTGATTCTTGGTTGGGGTAAGTACAGGAGGCAACCATTTGATGTTTCTTTCTCTCTCCCCTTTCCTCTCTCTGAACAGGTGTGGCTCAGTTGGCTGGAGCATCATCCCATGCACTGAAGGGTCACAGGATTGATTCCAGGTCAGGGCACACACCCAGGTTGAGGGTTTGATCCCCGGTTGGGGCATGTGCAACAGATTGATATTTCTCTCTCTACCCCTCTCTTCCTCTCTCTCTAAAAAATTAAAAATATATATATTTTAAAAGTTTGCTTACTTGTATTTTCAAACTGCTTTGTAGTAACAAAAAGTTATTTAATTTTAAGGATATCTCAGAGAAGAGAAAAATAAAATGAAGGGGGAAAAATTTCTTGGAGAAACCCGTCATTTAAAGGAATGTTTTGGAAAGGGGGTAATTATCTCTCAATTTAACTGTTTAATAAAATTGATTTCCGTAGGATGAGGTATATGCTGGTTTGGGGCAGTGCCTTAAAGTTTGTTATGTCAGCATCTAACCTATAATCACATATTTTCCCATCCAAAATATGTGATAATTCATACCATGAGAGTAAATGTTTATTTAGTTTTGTTTAAATGCCAGGCAACTCCTGGAATCAGGAGCTCTGCGAGTACTCACCATTCCCATAAGCCCAGTCATCATTCATGCGGTGGCGCACTTTCTGGTAAATGGCTGACATGGTTTTCATGTTGCTTTTCCTCCATTGGCGCCCCAGGTACTTGGTCTGTATTTTTAGCAGCTTCAGGACATAAAGTTGCAACATGGCCTGTTTGACCTTGAGGGCCCTCTTTAAGATTGGAGCAGATTTAAACACCACCAGCATCTGCTCATTTAAAGAGGGGTGAGAATAAAGAAAGACAGATAAAAATCTAAAAGTTACTTGGAATTTCCAACTCATAGTCAAATTAAGCTAAACCTGGCTGGCCTCAGATTACCCTGGGGAGCTTTTGGAAATCTATGGTCCAGGCTCCACTTAGATTTAGTTTTCAAGAACCTAGAGGAACCACTCCATTTATATCTCACAATTAAAAGTTTCTGATATTCAAAGTGTATGATATAAAGTGCAAAAAAATTCTGTCAGCCACACATCTCATTTCCAGTTAGCAGTTTCTTGTCTATCTTCTGCAGATAATTCTAAGTATGCATTTATTACTTTATTAACAAAAAAGATAGCCAACTACATACCATGTCATACTGTTCCATACTTTGCTTTTGAATAACAATATATCTTGAAAATTACTCCATATCAGTATAGAACTGCCTCATTCTTTTTGTTATATAATACTCTATTATAGGGATGCACCATAAGTTATTTAACCAGTTGGTCCTGTATTAATGAGCATTTAGGTTGTTTCCAATCTTTCATAATTACAAACAATGCTGCAGTGAATAATCTTAGACCTGCATCATTTGGGATTTGTGATTATAATCCAAATAACAATGCTAACTTCCCTACCAGAGCCACCCTGAGGGAAGGTCCATATTCAGCTCTCTGAAAAGAAATGTAAATAATTATCAAATATAGAATAAATGTCCAGAATTAGGAGGGGCTAAATTTTACATAGCATTCAGTGTCTATCTATAGATTTTGCAAAGCAGGAAGCCCATAAATATTAACTGAAGATTTAAAAAATTCAGTGAGATGGGCACCTACGTGATCTGAAGCCCCACTCACCATGGTTCTGGAATGCTTCCATTTGGTCAGTTTATTGAGCAGCCTCAGAAGGTTGATGCAGGAAAAGAGGTTCCTCCAGCAGAACTGGTTGTTGTCTCCAGCTTCCTGTAATAAGGCATGCCCATCATTATTATCTCAACACCTATAAGACTTATTTCCACAGATGCTTGGAAGTCATTGTTGGTCAGTTTGTTTTTTGGTTTTTGTTTTAAATATGTTTTTATTGATTTTTAGAGGGAGAGGAAGGGAAAAGGAAAGATAGAAACATTGATGAGAGAGAAACATCAACATCAATTGGCTGCCTTCTGCACACCCTTGCTGGGGATTGAGCCAGCAACCCGGGCATGTACCCTGACTGGGAATTGAACCAGTGACCTCCTGGTGCATGGGTTGACGCTCAACTGCTAAGCCACACTGGCTGGGCACTGTTGGTCAGTTTAGATGAGGCGCTCCTTATAAAATGCTACCTTCTCACTATCCTGCTTTTCACACACTGAAGCCTTAAACGTGCTATATCTTTCATCTGAAAATACACAGCTGCCAATCCTGGAAGACTCTGTACCTAGAGCAAGAACTGGTTAGAAAGATGATAGAAACATAGGAACACGAACATAGAAACTTCATTCAAGCAAGCTTTCTTGTGTAGTTTTCTAATTTAGGATCAGAGAAGAGATGATAGAATTTAACCCCCATACACTTTATACTTACATAAGTTATGCTTGTAATTGCCAGGAGTTATTCTGGTAGATTTCAAACTATATTAAATGGATCTGATATTCATTATGGTTGGATTTTTTAAATCAACCCCACCCTCCTTTATCAAACCATACTGCAGTAAATTGCTTAATTCTCCAGCATGGAAAGAAAAATGGCAGATGGTTAATTCTAACCAGGTGTTTCTCTTATATGTTTCTTGATATCTTATGAGCACCCAACCAGAAATAACAGATGGATATCAGATTAGAAACAGGTATCTACTCATAGAAACATCATTCAGGGACAAAAATAGAGAGTCCTTATAGATTTGGGGGCCTGTAAATATATACTGGTGACAGAAGCTATATAAACCAATGACTATGCATGGTGGCTAAACTAACATCTTAGAAATTCCTCATGTCTACAAAGTGATAGGATAATGTATAAGTAGGAGATGTATAGGCGTGAACTGCTGTCTGGTGAATGAAAATTACCCCTCCTCTCCCAAATTAATTTGAAGCAAGCAAGATAGGTATACATGTAATGTGGACTGAACATCCAGGATTTTTTGGAGTGTTAGGCTCACCTAAGATATAAATAAGACTAAGGATCAAAAAGTTTCAGGGAGCCCTGACTGGTGTGGCCAAGTTGGTTGAGTGTTATCCTGTGAACCAAAAGGTCCCTGCTTCCATTCCGGGTCAGGGCACATGCCTGGGTTGCAGGCTTGATCCTCAGTAGGGGGCATGCAGGAGGCAGCTGATCAATGTTTCTCTCTTACATCGATGTTTCTTTCTCTCTCTCTCTCTCTTCTCTCTCTTAAATCAATTTTTAAAAAAAATTTTAAAAATCCTTACTTATGGGCTGAGGTTTAAAAAAAAAGTTTCAGGGAAACGTTTTAGAAATATTATTTAGAAAAAATATTCTCATTCCTGTAGTAAATGTTCATTATTGTGTTTAGAACAAGTTCTGGAGAACCACCTGTTTCCTTCTAAGGGAAACTTCCATGGGAGGTTCCACTCTAATGCATCAGCTAGTCTGGCTTGCCCAAAACAGATCAGATTCCATAGATGTTATACCTTGTGTGGCTAACAGAGGAGACAGACTTTTAAATGTTTATTTTTTAAAAATAAGCAGAGGAAACAAAAAATATATGGGAGACGTAAATGTATTTGCACTGAATCCTGATTTCTAATATGGTAGCAGCATTAAAAGCCTTTCATTCCTTAGCACCGAAAAAATACAGGAGTAGAGGTATGGTCTTATAGAAGAAGCACTGGAGTAGGCACCAGGACATCTGGATTATGGTTTTGCCCTGGCTGAATGATCTTAGGCAAGTTTCCTATCAGAGGTTGAACTAGATAATCTTTAAGATCCTTTTAGCTCTGACCATTCAGTAATTCTATGATTTACTTCAACTTTCTCCAGTTGGTTTAAAAGTGAAATCCTGAGTGAAAGTAAACTAATAGTGGCTGTCTTTTCTATAGAGCTCAGTCTTAAGAGTTCCTGGAAAGATACCCCAATTACCTCCTGAAGATAGTGTCACCTGCCCAGGGCCTTGTTCTCCTTTCTTTCTGATAATGCTTCCTGACATCTATAACTAACCCCAGTTCTTGCATCACCAGATGCTCCCTGGAGTGGGCACTGAAAGCACACATGCTGGTCAGTGGCTCTCTCAGGATAGTTGAGCCCAGTCCTGTTGTCCTCCTTTGCTTGCAGTAGCAGGCTCTACATGGAGCCCTGCTCAAGGCTTCTGCCTTGTTCCAACCCAACAGATAAATCATTTTCCTAGCAGGCTTTCAGCTCCATGGGTGAGATTTCAGATTTGCCAGACTTGAACGGTTTTTCTTTTTATGTTCACTTAAGGTAGGTCACCTTCTCTCTCTTTCTGTCAGGACTCAGCATGTTAAGTAAGATGAAAACTTCTGTGGGGAGATAAATTTTGTGAACAGCAGCACTTGGCCACATTCTCTTGTTCCTGGTATTACACACTATCCAAAGCAAGACCTTTATTCATTTTAACCAGCCAAGGTTAAGTAAACACACATTTGCCCATTTTCCACTCTCACAAATAAATACTTGTTTGTATATACCTTGGGTCTAAAGATTCAGTTCAGGGACCAAATCCTACCCATTAAGAGCATCTCTTAAGGCACTACACTGACTTTGATGTTCTCAAAGGTCTATCCATAGCCCAGCTGAGTGAGCCAAACCAAATAAAAACCCAGGCTTACACCAATTATGTGGATAATTAACTCAGATGACTGCAGAAAGAACGTGTTGCTTCTTTTTGTACTGAGGAAATCAGATTGATTAGAAACTGACCACTAGAAGAGACTTAGCTGTTCTAGTCCAAGTCTGTCATCCACAGAAGCAAATCCTGAGGCCCAGAGAGGGTAAGGGGTTTGCCCAAGGTCACATGATAAGTGTCCCAACTAAAGCTTGAACCTAGATTTCCAGTAGTCACTGAATTAACATTGTCTTTATTTACTGTTCATCTATTGTTTGCACTTCTGGAATTCTAGACACAGAAGGTGATTCCTGAGAAAAAAATCAGATTTGATCTCCTGCTTTCTCAGCTTTTTGAAGACCTAATGGTAGAGAAGCTCTTTCTTACATCCTATAATAATTCTTAACTTCAAACAAGCAGAAGATAACAGTTTCCAGGAAAAACAACAACAAAAAGTAGAGATCTCCTGCTTTAAAAGGGAGCATCTGACTGAGTTCAGTCAATGATCAGAGTGAGCCTTTAAAGAAGTGCTAAGTGTTAAATCTGATACATTCTAAACCTCAACAGCTTATTAAAGTTCCTAAGTGATGATTATTATTTTCAGGTTAATAATCCAGCTCTTCACTGGAAAGTCAAAATTATTAATATTAATTTGGTTGTTTTATAACAAACCTAGGAGAATTTTATAGTCTAAGGAAAGTTGATGCTCATCTCAACTACTCTTGGTTTTATAGTTGAAACTCCTGCAGCTTACAGGAAACTTCTCAAGTTAGAGTGGTAGTGGCAAAGCCAGGTTTGTATACCTTTTCTAAACTATAAATTAGTTTATTTCTTTGCATTGGGCTTCAGGTTTATGTCAGCCCTGCATTTACTTGAACCTATTTGCAAAAACATTTGCTACATTTTAATACTTACTAATTGAAAATTCACAGGGTAGCTATTTCTTCTTTTTAAAAAATCCTCACCTGAGGATATGTTTTAGAGAGAGGCAGGGAGAGAGAGAGAAACATTGATGTGACAGAGGAACATCGATCAGTTGCTTCCCATACCTGCCCCAACCAGGGATCAAACCCACAACCTTTTGGTGTATGGGATAATGCTCCAACTAACTGAGCCACCCGGCCAGGGCCAGTATAGCCATTTCTTGGTAAATGATTCTTTTGCTTCATTTCTTTATTATGGTTCACATAATTGAAAATCAAGTCATTTTTAGTTTAGATTTTCTTTTCCCATCCCCTTATCATATGGATTTCTGACAATTTAGTTAATGCTAATTTAAGGACCAAGATCTAGATATCATAAAAGAGAGTGATGATTCTTAAGTGAAGTGAAAGGTAAAGAGGAAGGAAAAAAGAAAATTCCAAAACCACGTGGGGAGCTTTAGCAAACTACCTGTGCCCTCAAATGGGCATGTGAGTTTGAAAAATCACCCCAGAGATTCTAATATCCTCTAGCATCCATTACAGAAATGGTAAGAGGAAAATTGATAAAATGCTAAAAGACATTTATCTACAGTCATTCCTCTGTAGAAATACCTCATAGAAATAGATATATACCTTACGAAGAGTTCACATCTTATCTAGAATAGAAAAACAATAATGCTAAAGACATTATTGGTTTTAAATAGTGATGGTGAGTCAGAACAAAGATTTTATTTAAGGAGGTAACAAATCGTTAAATAATTCTGAAAGAAATACTGGAGATCTTAATACTTGAACATAACAATTATATTCCAATAAAACAATAGTAAAAATCTTCTGAGATATCCAGAAATGCCTGGATTAGGAAGTTATAAAAACTACATTTAATGAGGATAGATGAAAGGATCAGATATGTAAATTTAAGTGATAAGAACATGTTTTTATAGGTCTTTCTGAATAGAAATCAAACCCAAATTTGAGGAATTTTGTGATGAACTACCTTTAAAAATTTAATAATTTTTAATAATTTTAATAATTTCACTTGCCTAGATTTAAAAGGAAACGCCAAATGTTTCTTTGCAAATGGCTAGGTCATGCAAATTCTGACCCACTGCTTTGGCTCTACATAGCTATAAGGCTTTGGACATCACTTTACTACTCCTCGTTTCCTCATCAGTAAAGGGTAGGATTGGGCAAGATGCTAAGAAACTTCTAACTTTAATACTCAGTGACTCCAAAATACTATGTTTTCTCATTCTTTTACCTTTAATCTATAGGGCTGCTTGAGCATCCACATTGTTCCTTTGTACATGGCTCCTTTGTATATGATGCTGCTGTTGCTAAATCATCTTCTCTAGGAAAAAACAAGCATTTGGAACTCTGGGTTGGCTATGCAGCAGTGACAACTGATTTACACAGAATTTTCCACGTTTTTTGGCCCAAATCTCTGTCAGATAGGAGAAGGAAGGAGGATAGAGTACAATCTGCATGATTTCTCTTTAGAGCCAACAGGCCCACAAAGAAAACAGACCTACATTACCCCCATTTCACCATACTCTAAAGCAGTGGTTTCTAAACTTTCTCACAGTAAATACTTTTGTGTAGACTCCCAAATACATGTATGTTTACCTACACTGACTGATTTCTCTAGCAACCTCCTTCCAAAGATCATACCTAACTTCCACACAATCATAAATACATTCACCATCCTTCCCTTAAGTTTGGAATTTAATTTTAATTTTTTCCTAGTTTAGTGGGTTGAATTTGAATATAGACATTTGGAGAGCCAGGTGGGTGGGGAAACTGCTCAGTACATGAGTAAGGATGACCTATTATAAAGCTAAACACTTTGACAAAATGGAAGGACTTTAGAAATTAATGTGTCATTAAGTTTCCCTTTATTTCATGTTGATTACAAGTATAGTGGGAATGCCAAATGAAGTTGAACTCAGTTCAAATTTAGAAAACTGAGAAAATATGAATCAAGACTATCTCAGCTGAGTAATTCTTCTTCTAGGACTTGATCTTAAGGAAATAATCAAAGATGAGATCAAAGATTCATGTGCAAGGATGTTCATTTTGAAGTTATAGAGAAAATTGAAATGAATGCCCAACAATAATAGAAAACAATCATTTAAAAAATATTAAGTAGTGGGCCCTAGCTGGTTTGGCTCAGTGATTTGAGCATCAGCCTGTGGACTGAAGGGTCCTGGGTTCGATTCCAGCCAAGGGCATGTACCTCGGTTGCAGGCTCCATGGTCGGGGCACATGCAACTAATCGATGCGTCTCTTTTACATCAATGTTTCTCTCTCTCCTCCTTCCACTCTCTCTGAAAAGCAATGGAAAAAATATCCTCTGGTGAGGATTAAAAAAAACAAGAAGAAAATGTTAATTAGTGGAATATTATGTGTAGCTACTAGAAATTATGTTCTCAAGAATATTTAATAAAATCATATGGTGAACATTTAAATTGTACTATGTGACTTGAAACAAGGTCATTATTTTCTGAAATAATATGTATATATATATGAATAAATATATACTGTATATGGTAATTGCAGCAAAATATTAACAGTGGCTATATGTAGGTAGTATAAATAGGGTACTTTAATTTTCTTCCCCACATTTCCCTATTTTTCTCCAGTATTATATATTAACTTTATAATTGGAAAAAACTTTAAATATTATTTAAAGAATAACATTTAACACTTAAAAAAACAGTACATTCTGTTTACAACTAATTCATTGAGTCTGAAAAAGAAATAATCTTACTCATATAAATATTAGCCTTTTCTGAGTATAGAAGGCATCAGTTTAGATAAACCATTATACTGAGCACCTATGCGGCATAAACTTGATAGTTACTTAAGCCTATGATTGGACTCAGGGAAGTACTTAACCTAAGTTCATGCAAACAAAACACATCAAAACAAACTGTAGTTACGTAATGAAACCACCAGGTGCCACTGTTGCTTCACAGGAAGGAAAGGGAATACCTAACATGAATTTTGTTTTTTATTAAGAGTAGATAATGCATTCACCCACTCTTGCATAATAATTAAGTCTTCTGAAAAGCATTACAATTATTTAAATAATTTTATGCTTATACCCTAAAAGGTCAATTGGAACAGATATAGAGAACACATTGTATCAAGAAAACAGATTCAGCCTGGCCCAAGTGGCTCAGAGACTGAGCACTGACCTATGATCCAGGAGGTTGGGGTTCGATTCCTGGTCAGGGCACATGCCCAGGTTGCAGGCTTGATCCCCAGCAGAGGGCATGCAGGAGGCAGCCAATCAATGACTCTCATTATTGATGTTTCTCTCTCTTTCTCACTCTACCTTCCTCTCTCTCTAAAATCAATAAAAATATATTAAAAAAAGAAACAGATTCAGACCCTGGCCTGTGTGGCTCAGTTGGTTAGAACTTCATCCCGTACATCAAAAGGTGGAGGGTTCAATTCCCCAATTCCCGGTCAGGGCACATGGGTTGTGGGTTTAATCCTCAGTGGGGGCATGGGAAGCAACCAATCAATGTTTCCCTCTTACATCAATGTTAAAAAAAAAATAGATTCAGGTCATAAAAGCTCACTTTGTTTTCAAATACCCTAACAGAATTTTAATGCTGTCTGTGTACCACTTGTTTCTTATTCCAAATTTGAATGGCAGGGATGTAGTTCTCCACCCTGGCTCTGCTACATTCAACTGTGAAGTTTTGGCAGTTACTTAACTTCTCTATCCATAAAACAGTAATACCAACCTCATAGTTATTTTAAAGACTGAATAACATAATGAACATAAACAGGGTTAGAAAACTTATTACCTCTCTCTGCAGGGGTAAGGAGCTCCTCTTGGCTGCTGAGAATACATCTAAGTAAGACAGATTTCCTGCCCTGGTGCTAAAAAGGGTGCTAGACTTAGTGTCTCAGGACATGGGTCTTTCTCTAATTCAGAGTCTGTCATCTATGAAGCGTGGACCATGAAAAGTCATTTTATTCAATGGATGTTTCTCATCTTTGAAATAGGGGTTTGGGCAAATAGTTCTCATGTCCCCTCCAGCCCAAAATCCTATGGTTTTATAAAACCTGTACCACAGAAGGTTATCATCCTATTTTTACATAAGACTTTTTTGATGCAACATTTTGCAGGTATTAAAATTGGGGAACAAAGGGTTGTGGCACACATGGGTGTCGTCATCTGATTACTCAGCATTTGTTGAGCTCCTTCTATATACCCAAACATGGTGCTAGACTCTGGTGATAAAAAAACGATGATGATACTGTCTTTTACTTCAAGGCATTTTCAGTCAAATGGAGAAACAGATACAAATTACAATGCAACAGGGTGAGGGTAGGGACTAAGGAATAGCTAAGGAGCTATGGCAATACATGCATGATGAGGTAGATACTTGATGTTTCAATATACTGTTCATCAGTTAGTTTCATGGAATTAAGAATAACTCTAAGGGCTTTGGCCAGTGTGGCTCAGCTGGTTGGGTATCATCCCAGTCCCATGCACCAAAAGGTTGCTGGTTCAATCTCTAGTCAGGACACATGCCCGAGTTGTGGGCGCCATCCCTAGTAGGGGGTGTGCAGGAGGCAACCTATCGGTTGCACTCTCATATCGATGTTTCTCTCTCTCCCTCTCCCTTCCTCTCTCCCTTAAAATCAATAAAAAATATTTTTAAAGAATAACTCTGAGGAACTTTTCTGATTTGCCTAGAGCTGTTTCCAGAATAAGGAATTTTCTGGGTCATCCTTCTGTGGCTATATTGACTTTTGCCTCAGAGAGACCTAGGCAAGGTATTTTCTGAAGTACCACTCCTGTGTTTTATAACCCATATGAAAATGAAAAGTGAGTAGCCTGTAGCACAGCAGAAAGACAGATAATTGTTTGGGATAGACCAGATGAGATTCTCCTGCCATTTTGCACAGATGTTCACATTAAATTTCAGTCCAATTATCTTCCTAAATTTCCTCCCCTCCTTGCTGATTTTTACTGACACTTTTCTCTACAAAATGGTATGCTCAGCTTTTCCACATTGTTCTCAACTGGGTCAGCAGCTCTAAACCAAACCACTACTGTCTCTGTGCTATTGCCAATATGCCTTTATTAATCTGAGACTTCCAAACCAGGGCATTATGGAGATAGAAGAAATGGAAAAGCAAGTGCCAGCCTCTGCTACCTGGCAATTTCAAAGGCTACCAAATCCCCATCTGCTTACCAGACTCTCCGTAGTAAGTTCTGGCAAATCTTGGATGGTACAGCAAGGGTAATCCAGGACCGAGATGCTGCAAGATGCAGAGATAAGGACAGGCTTTAGGTAAATGGCAATGGCAGGAAACAGTTGTATATTAAAGGGCATGGGTTATTCCTCTCCAGCCGACCCTATCTATTTCCCAAATTGCTTAGTGACCTTAGCTGAAACAGGGTTTTGGTGCCAGCCAACTCCAGCTCTAGTCTCCTCTCCTCACAGTCATGAAAGGAACCAAGAGAGCTCTTTCAGGCCAGCCCCCATCTGGCTGAGGCAAAAGAGAGTAGAAACAGAGCCTCTGTACAGCCACCCTTCTCTTTCCTTCTTTAAAGGAATATGTAAACTTGTGTGCATTTGTGTCTGTATTTAAGTATATGCCTGTGTGTATGTGTGAATATAATTGTGCTCCCAGAGATGCTGCCCAAACTTATTCCACTTAACAAATTGGGGATGTGAGGATGAAACAAAGACTTATATGTCTCTTTCTGAAAGCCAGGAACTCTAGGGAATAATCATATAAGCTACTCCTACTAGAAGCTTGAAACAAAGGCAGCAACCTGCAGCAGGACCAATCAAGTAGCTCAAGAATGGTAATAGCACCTGCCCCCAAGGGAGCTGGAGGCTCTGTGGTGAGCCCAGGGAAGCAGGGGAAATAAGGCACCACACGATGACAGGAACATAGTCATTCAAAATGACAGTTCTTTCCTCTTCTCCCTTCTTCATTGGTACAATGCAGAATTGAGACTAGCTAATCTCTAATGCTTCTTCTGGTTGGGACATTCGATGAGTTTTAAACACCAATCTTGCCCTGGCCTGTGTAGCTCAGTGGTTAGACCACTGGCCCGAGGACCAGAGTCACTGGGTTGATTCTTGGTCAAGGGCACGTACCTGGGTTGCAGGTTCGATCCCTGCCCCCCGTCGGGGTGTATGTGGGAAGGCAATCAATCAATGTGTCTCAAATCAATGTCTGTCTCACTCTCTCAGAGATCTCTCCCTCCGTTCTTCCCTCCCTCCCTTCCACTCTCCAGAAATCAATGAAAAACATCCTTGGGTGACGATTAACAACAACAAACAAAAAAACAAAAACAAAATTAAAAAACCACCACTCTATCTGAACTAATGCAGTTAGAAATAGATAAATGATGTTGGCAAAGCAGAGGCTATAAAGAGGAATATGGTGTTCCTTGGACCTGTCTCTGTACTTTGAAAGTCAAACATCTATTCAAATAAAAGGCAACAGTTTACTCCACTAGAAATGTTTACCTTTGTCCAAGAAATCCACAAAGATAACCTAGGGAACAAAGGGAGGAGAGGAGAAGGCAATGTCTCTATCTACAGTGTTGCTCATCTTAATTCACTCTACTAGATTCTCCCAGGGTTGCCAGTTCTCTGCTGCTCTGTTAGGATACAAACATTCTGGGCTGGCTTATCCACTCAACTGTCCACCTTCCACTGACAAAGCCCCATGGCAAAGCAGGTGCTGGTGACTAGGAAATGGGGGTGGGAAATCAAAGATGGATTTGTTCCAACCTCAGTGAACTGAATTCTAGCCTAAGGGGGCATAAAAGAAAGTAAAAAGTTTCTAGAATATCTAGACTAAGAGCCTAGAAATAATGCAATAATTATTGCATTACGAGGAAACTGCAATGAGCTGTGGGTGCTCCAAGTTTCTCAGGGATTATGCAACAGTGAAATACACTATGGGTGGTACACAGGAGGACGATCTTACCCAGGCCAACCTTAGCAAATGGCACAGTCTGGTCTGTCACTCTTCCAACTCCAAATGATCGCAATGGACACATATTGGATTGCTTGCCCCTCCTCTTTCAGGCCTATGAGTGCATTTAGCTCCTGAACCCAACTTCTCCAGATACAACTGACAGACCCAGGGGCAGACCTCTAACCCTGGGAATGTTGAACAAGGATTAGGAGCCAGTTCAGCCTCTGAGTGGCATGAGGCAGGACATGTTTAGCTCATGTGGGCATATTTCACTGAGTGGAGTGGGAAACAGACACTACTATTTGCAAATGAGAGAGGACACTGGAGTGGAGGTATAGAGGCTTGGTGTCCATAGATAGAGGTGTAGGACTTCCTGGGCTTCATACACTACAGACCAACCCGGAGGCCCAGAGCGCATCCCTGTCCTAGGTTCCTCAAGATGATACACCTCCCATTTCCTTCTAACAAGTTACTTACTAGCCAGGTCTAGCTGGTTTTAGTTACTTATTTAAGAAGGTTGACTGATACACGCAAGTGCCTCCATGAAGCTGTGGCCCTTACCTAGCCCAACCTACACTTTCATTTTCCCTGGTAACCCAACTAGCAAGTCAGTGTTATTTTTAAGGTGGCCGGTACACAAGTCTCCTGTAGTTAGAAAAAAACAAAACCAAAAAACTCCACATTCTCCAATGCTTACTTCAAATGGGAAAAGTATTTAAGTCACTCTCATATATGTTTATCTTAACTAATGCTTATAAAAGCTCTATAATACAGCCAGAGGAGGTATTATTTTCATTTTAAAGATGAAAATACAGTGACTCAGAGAAACAAAGTGTCTTAGTTGAGATTACATAGCTAGCAAATGGCATATCCAGGTCAGGAATCGAGGTCTCATGACTTCAGGTTCTGTGTGTGTGTGTGTGTGTGTGTGTGTGTTTCAAACTACATATAAGTAAGCTGCCTCTCCATGGAGGAATTTCAGGCCATACTGAAAGCCCCTTTCCCGTCACTCCAAGTAATCAGCCTTCTTTCTTCTACTTTAGGAACTTTGCCTCTATCAAAGCACTTCTGGTAGGCTACTGATTTAACATGCTTCTAATTCTCATGGAAGGAGCAAACTAAGGAACAAAGATCTGTTCTATAACAACACCTCCCACTTGGCTGGAGGAATGGAAAGCAATTTGTATTCACAACCATTGTGATCAGAAAGCCATTTGTGTTTTGATTCTATCTTTGCTGTTTACTTAACGAGTCTCACTAGCATGTTAATCTTGAGCAAGTCAATTAACCTGAGTTGTTTCCTAATTGGTAAAATAAGAAACAAAACTTGTTTTAATACCTCTTAGCACTGCTTTGCAGATTAAATGAAATAATGGATGTAAAAATAATGTAATCTTAAAAACTACAAATTGATCTATTATTTACCTTCAGTTACAAATTCTATATAACACTTTACAGTTTACAAAGTAGTGTAACTAATCCAACTTATGATTTATACTAAGATGGGGGCTGGCCAGAGAAGCAGGCTGTTTCACAAGAAACACTTTTCGGATCCTTCTGCCATAAAGCTGAAATTTCAGCATTGAAGTTTCATTACTTTGAGTCATGACATTTTTCAGTTTTTAAAACTTTAAAAATACAAATATCTTTGTGATGAGGCCAAACCACACATCCCAGCAGCTAACATTACAAGGAAATTAAATTAAACAGTAATAGCTCTAAGACAGAAGAGACTTGGGACACCAGAACTGACAGGCTCAGAGACAATGTAATTTTCTCAATCATCCCAAACTAACCCTTTGAAATAAAACTGTCTAGAGTCCATACCTGTTTTTAGCAGTGATGTAGGACAAAATATTTTGATTGAAGAACTTCAGGATCAATGGAATGCAGTTGGCAAATACCAAATGTTGTGATACATATTCAAACTGAATTAAAAGATCAAAGTGGAAAGGGCTGCTTATTTGGGGGAGAATAGAAGGTCTGTATGAAAAAGAAAGGCAAGTATAAATTGAATATCCATTCCGAAAGTTATCCACTATCCTCTTGTGTTATCAGTCTTCCTGCCTGGGAAGGGGGAGAATCATCTCCAGCTCTTCCACCCTACATGAAAGGGGGCAATCTGTAATGTTACATGTTGCAAATTCCTGACCAAAAGCACAAAACATAAACAAACCAGAATGAAAGCCCTATTACAGATCAATGGAACTGCTGTGAGATTTGCTCTTAAGCTCAACAGGAAAGGAAGGCAACCCTGAGGAAGTTGTCTTCCACACCAAACCTCTGGCTCAGTGTTTCACTGTGATTGATATAGCAAGAACAGGTGCAACTTACCACCAGCAACTGCTGACATCACTCAGCCAGCATGGAGACAACACATAGTAACCAAATGAACCACTGGAATGTGGGCTCCAGTGCCAGTCTGTATGGTTCTCTGTACTTGGAATATCAGTATTTTAAATGAATCAACAAGAGCCATTCAGTCAACAGATACTGTACTGAGAATAAGTCCAAGATCTCTTTGATGAGCTAAACACCAGAGCCCAGGGACTCCATTTTGCTCTCCTGAATCTAGATAGGGTTTGTGTCCAGGAAGACCTAGTGGAGGCAGTGTCATGAAGTTATGTGACCTGGATTTTGACCATGATACACTGAGGAGCATCAGACACAATTTTCTCCAGATCCAGAACCTAAACTGTTGGGACAGTGCAGAAACTAGTTTGAAAAAGCAGAAAATTGTGCTGTTTTAAAAACCCTAGTTCTTCCTGATTACCAAGAAGTAGCCATGGCAGCAAGCTAAGCTGCCCTCTGCCCCTGGATGTGTGGTTAGAGGAGGGGAGTCAGCTGGTGTTTCCCATTTCTCTCTTCTGCTCAAATATTTTCTCCCTGGCAGCTGACCCAGGGTTTTTTCCCAAAGCCCCAAATGGAGGAGATAATACATACTCTCTATCAAGTGATGGGAAACCTTTTTCAGTTTGAGATGTGTCTATAGCCTTGTCAGGATTCACTGACACTGGCAAGACCCATCAAGCCACCTACCTATCTGGCTATTGAATCACATACTGCCCACCAAGAGAAAGAAGCAGACAGAAACACACATCCTCAGTTCTCTGCTCTTTCTGCTAGGAACATTATCTCACATCCATCCCAACTCCTCCCAGCCCTGCTGCTGTTCAGCAAACATTAGCAGGAGAGTGAGCACCCAGGACACCCTAACACAACCAAAGATGTCCCTGAATGTACTAAAGTGGAGAAACACACTGGTTGTACAGTCAAACCTGCCATGGACACAGACCCTGCAGGGGTTTCCCTGTGCTCTAAGGACCTGCTCTTCCACCAGCAAGCTTGGTTTTGACTTTGTACGAGGAAAATAGAACAGAGCCTCTGCGCAGGAATGAAAAGTCTCTCCTCCCCATGATCTCACCACAGTGACCATCCATTCACTACTCCCATCTTCCTCTATACCTTGGTAGTGCCTACAGAACCAAGTCTAAACACCTTAGCATGGCAAACAATGGCAAGGGAAGCAGGTTAACCTTTCTTAGCTTTCGTTTCCTTATCTATAAAACAGGGATAAAATAAGACCTACCTCATAGGGTTGAGAGAATTAAATGAGATCCCACACAGGCATAACAGAGTGCTGGGCACATTATAGGTACTCAATAATGTGTGCTATTATATGTGTTATGATCTGCTCCCTGTTGTCCCCTCCAGCCTCATGTATCACCCACCAGTTCTCCCACAACCCCAGGCAGAACTCCAGCAACATTTAATCAGTTTCCAAAGGTACTTTGCTCTCTCCCTTTTGGATTTTCACAAATTAGCTTTTCCTGCTTGAAATGCTTCCTGTCCTCTTTCCTTGACAACTCCCACATTGTAGCTAACATCTCTTAAGGACTCAGGTTAACAGTCACTTCACCTCAGGCTGGATTAGGTATTTCCATATCAGCCAATGCTTTCCTGTATCACAGTCCTTATCACTCTATAACTGAATATTTATGTATCTGTATCCTTTAAAAGACCTCTAAGCCCTTAAGAGCCAGAACTGTGCCTTATTCAGAATTATATCTCAAATGTTAGAAAGGTGCTTCATGTATAGAAAACTATACTCAACATGCTTTCCCCCTCCCCTATTTTTGTAGAATGCTTGAATCTTGTCTTCCACTGTTGCAAAGCTGGCTGGGCATATTTCCAAGGAGCTAGATTCCTACCCACAATCCTCAGATAATGTTCAAAGGATATAGACTTCTACACCTTTCTAGGACAGTTCCTCTCATCCCACACCATATCTCCACCCCAAGCTTGTGCAACAGGTATTTTGATTCCCTGAGTAAGACAAAGAAAAGGCTGAAAGATGCTCAGCTGAACTACAAGGGCCCTTGTGTCCCTTCTTTGGGAGATAGGGCCTAGAGAACACCTAAGCCCTGTGGAGAAGAGCTCCTAGCTGCTCACCTGGTAGATGTGATTCAGTTTGAAGTGTTTGAGGAGTAGCAAGAGCAGGGCAGAGATACTCTTTACAATGATCTCCTTGTGCCTGTTCACATCGATGCCCAACTTCATGCTCTGGAGAACAGTGACGCTACAATGGTGATAGGAAGGGTCAATGCAGAGAGTGGCTTGAGAGAGCTCTACATAGATACATATTTGGATCAGATACAATATACACAAGAGAGCCAGAGCTTAGGAAACCTGAATTTCTGTGCTAGGAAAACCTCCAGAGTTCCTACGGATAAGCCTGTCTGGAGAAAAGCTTCTCTGGTCTCTTTGTTTCTCTCTCTCTTTTGGCAAGCTCATCCCTTGGCAATGTCCACCCACATACCTGTGCAGCTAGTCACTGGCACTGATACTGCCCTCCAGACCCACAATTCTGAGCTAAAAAGAGCACAGCAGAGAGCAATGTAGTGGAAAGGGGCTACTGGTGGGGGAAGGTAGATCTCTTTGGAGATAATCCCTGTGTTAACCAGGTGGGGTGGGGACTAAAGAGACCCCTGAAGACAAGAGAGCTAGTATTCAGCAGCCACCCCAGCTGAAGCACTCACGGCATCTCCTCAGGCAGGACATCTGCCAGAATATTGATTGAGTCTGTCTTAGCCTTGGAGGTGGGAGCTGCAGCCAGAAGAATCTTAAGCAGAGCAATCTGGAAAGTAGAAAACAAGGAATCCATCCCATTCAATAAGGCTTTTCTTCAACACCTCAACAGCCCTATGAGAAGTGTTTTCAAGTCTTCCTCTAAGTTCTTCCCCTCAATGACCAAATCCCCCCAGCCTCCAGAGGGGCAACCAGGTGCCCAGTCCTGAGAGGCCTGCCTGTTGAGACTCAGGAGCCAGAAGGACGCTTATAGGCTGCTGTGCTTCAAGATTGCTCTTTCCAAAGAGGATGGAAGAAGCAAAGTGAGAGGGGCAGTGCCTAGAAATAAAATGGGAGGTATAAGCAAGATCTCACTTCTTCTACCCTTTTCCTTCCTCTAACCCTGACTATCAGCATCCTCACCATTCTCAGCCTGAGGCTATGTAGGACATGACAGATCATAGCAGACCTTAGAAGGACTAGGGCCCCCAATGCACCCTGCACAGATCCCATCTTACTCTCCACCCCTCCAAAAGGACTAGGGAGCAGCCTCAAGTTCTCCTTCCTCTTGTAAGAGCCCTGAGGAAAGCTTGGAATTCTAATGTGTTAGAGAAAGCCTCACCTGAGGGGCAAAAGCTCAGGAAACAAGCTGAAATGATGGACATCTCAGCTTGAAATGGCTTTCAGCTGTCTGTTCCTTGGAGCAAAGAAGGGCAGCTCCTTACCATGTCCTTACCCCACCAACTCCTTACCATGTACTGGGGGAGGCTATACAGCATGCCCTGGTAGAGGATTTCACATGGCGTCTCTGGTACTACCTCTTCCCCCTATGGCAGGAAACACAGTTTACCCAAGCCATTTTCCAGTTGACCAAAGGCTATGTGAAGTGTGCCATGAAAAGAGCATTCGGCTGGGAATCAGACCTAGGTTCCAATCCTAGCTGTTAATGTCTCATTATATCACCTTGGGTAAGTTACTTTCCGTCTCTGGGTCCTAGTTTCCTCTTCTATACATCAGTTGGTTGGTTTGGATGACCTCTGAGGGCTCTTCCAGCCCTAACAAGCTATAATTCTGGTTTTCACATTATCTGAAGTCAATCTGAATTCTTCTTTCCATGTCCCATGCTGGATCAGGAGTCAGAACTCCCAACTAGGAGATGACTCAGACCACTGCTTTGCTGGACACATATGGACTTAACTCAGGCTACAGGTATGCCTGGGACACTGGGACCAAACAGCCCACACAGAGACACTTCCCATGGTGTCAAGCTGAATGCTCTGAAGCCAGGAAGGAGAGGTAGGTGACTTAATAGAGACAGTTAATAAAAAAGATGGGTAACCAATGGCTTGGAGAAGCAGGAGGAGTACTGGCTGGTAAGCTTTTAGGTGTAAACTATTTTCTTTTTTTCTCCATTAGCCCCTACAACATCCTTTCTCCTTTCTGACCAGTCCCCTCATGCACAACTCTGTTTGTCCTTTTGATGACCCCACCTAAGCCTTTTATCAGAGTAGAGAGAGAGAGGCCTCCGTGTTCAAGAGGCTACTCGAGGCCACTGTCATCTTTGGCCAATGCAGTCCTTCCTCACTCAAGGTCCCTCTATTACAGGGCAAGGGTCACTGCCGTGAGAACCTGAGGTAGGGAGAAATAACGAAGCCCTTTTCATCCCACAAAACTCAGCTGCTGCTTAAATAAGCAAAAGTCTTAAATGGGCATTCAATAAAGCCTGGCAATCCTGCATGCTTGCCTTCCTGTTCTCCAAAAGGCCTACTTCATACCTTTTCCCCTTTCTCAATCCCCTTACCCCACAGCCCCTCAATAGTTGCTAACCCTGCCTCATACTTCATGGAGAAAACAGAAGCAATCAGACAAGCACACCCTCATCTTCTCATTGCCAAATCTACCAGAGAGTCTCCACCTTCCTTCTTGACATTAAGGATGAACCACCTGTGCTCCAATCAAAGGCCAACTCTCCACTTGTGCTTAGAATCTCACACTCTTTTCCTTTGTCAAATGCAAGAGTTCTGTAATTATCCCCTCTTCTGGATCATCTCTTTTAGGACACAGACATACTCCAGTACCACCTAGCTACAAAACACTGTCCCTTGACCCCACATCCTCCTTCAGCTATCATACATTTTTTATTATCCTTCACACAATAAAATTTCTATGTTGTCTATGTCAATTGTCTACCTCCTTTTGTTGCAGTCCTTTTTCCAACACAACAACTAGGCTCTTAGCCCCACCCTTTGAGGTTGCTCTTTACAGGGTCATCAGTTTTCTCCATGTTGCCAAATCCAATGGACACACCTCAATCTTATTATGCTCCATTTATCAGCAGCATTAGACACAGATGATCACTCCCTTCTTCTTGAACTTGACTTTCTTTTCTTCGCTTTTATGGTATCACAATACCCTGTATGTCCTCCCACCTCCCTGAGTGTTTTTCTTACTCCTTTGCTGACACCTTTCCTGGCTCATCCCACCCTCAACATATTGGTGTGCCCCAGGGTTTTGTCCCGGGTTTCATCGTCTTTTCTATCTCCGCTCTCTCCCTGGGTTATCTCAGCCAGTCCTATGGCTTTTAACACTGTCCATAAGACGACAGTTCCCAAATTTATTTCTCTAGGCCAGTCCTCTCTCTAGAACTCTAGACCCATATATCTAATCGCTTCGTTGCTCTGCATGGGTGTCTAATGGATATTTAAAACTTACTACGACCAAAATAGAACTCTTGATAAAACAGAACTCCCATCTTGGCAAATGGTACTTATTCTTGATTCCTCTTTTTGCCTCTCTATCCACAACCAATTGAATTGCAACTCTTGTCAGTTACACCTCCAAAAGACAACCCAAATTCATTCACTTTTCCCTAGTTCCACAATTGCTACCTGAGTACAAGTCACCATCATCTCTCACCTTGACTATTATAAGAGCTTCCTAACTGATCTTCCCACTTCCACTTTTTCCTGATCCAGTCTTTTCACAGCAGCCAGTGGTTTTTAAAAAGATAAATCAGATGTCACTCCTCTACTTAAAATCTTGAAAGGCTTCCTTTTGTATTGTAAATCAACTTTAAGCTCCCTATTTTGCTTACAGGACCACCTCTCTGATTCCATCTCCTACAAGCTCACCTCTCCCCTGTGCTCCAGTGGGCCACACCACATAAACCACCTTTATTCACTATATCTAATGCTCTGAGCTTGCTCTCACCTAGTTAAGGCCGTTCCCTCTGCTTGGAATGCTCTTTCCTCTGATGTTCCTATGGTCACTCCTTCTTGCATCTCATATATATCTTGGCTTAACTGTTACCTTCTCAGAGGTCTACCTACCTTGACTGCCCAATCTAAAGTACTTCACTACATGTCTCTATCATGTAATTCTATTTAAATTTTCTTTATTATATCACCCACTCTCTGATAATCTTGTTTTCTTATTTAACTTTTCTCTAACTTTAACATATCATGAAATTAGGGACCTTGTCTTGCCTGGCACACAGTAAGAGCCCCAAAACATGTACACATGTCCTGTGACAGCACTGCAGACAATTTCCTCCTGCCCTCTTCCTGTGCAGGACCCCCTTAACTCACCAAAGACATGGGGCACTTCTCCAGCTCCTCCTCATTCTTGATCTGAACATCTGCGATGGAGATGTATTTGTGCTGGGGGAGATAAGACATCAACAAGGGGCTGAGGGTCTCAACCACGTGTGCCAGCTTCCTGCTTAACTTCCTCAATGCCAAGGAAACGTCCTATTTATGGGTCTGTCATCCCAAACAGGCCATGAGCTATTTGAAGGCAGCAGTATTATTCACCTTTGCATCATTAACACTGAACAAAGTGCTTCATATATAGTGTTTCTGTTTGTTACATGTTTTGAATTCATTAAAGAGCAGCAAATACCTAAGCATTTATCTTCCACCAAAATGCAAGGGAAGCCAGGAAGAGGCCTTTGCCCTGGACCACTGCCCTCAGGGTTCTGCTGCATGTGTATGTGTATGTGGAGTGATGATGATGGGTGGGGTAGGGAGAATCCAAGGTCTGTGCATCTTAGTTTTTTGTGCTCACACACGTTAGATGTAGTGTAGTAGCCTGCTACTTAATCCTGGGCCTTTGGAAGTTAGTGGTCCTATAAGGAGAGAGAAGTGAGAGGAAAGGAAGTGAGGAATAGGAAGAGAGAGAGAAAGGTGGGAGGAGGGAAAAGGAATGAGAGGAAGAAAGAATAACCTTCTCATCTATCTGAATGTAGAAAACTAGTAAGTAAGGAGAGACCTGATTTCTTCTTTGGCCAAAACACCTTCAGGGAAATGTAGAATAATAGATTCAGAATGTGTCTGGTACAAGAGCCCCACCCAGTACCAAGATCTCACTAATCCAACTTGTGTTGATGGCTAAGACTGACTGCCCACCCTGGTCACCTGCTTTAGAGTCTTCACACTCTCGTGGATGGGCCTGGGTAATCCAACCAAGGTATCTGTGTCCCTGTGAAATGCAAGATACACCAGATTATAAGCTTCAAAAGTATAAAGGACTTCTCATACCCCCTGGAGTCACACAGACCATGCCACCTTCAGCTTCTGGGTCCCCCATAGTTGCTTTAGGACACAGAAGGAATGGTACACGGAAGTGTTTCTGAAAATTAGGATTTTTGTGTAGTTTTTTGGGACCCACTTTGTTCGGGAATGGTAGGTTCCTACCTAATGACACTTTTGACTGTGGAACACCAGTAACAAGGCCTTCTCAGGTTTTGTAGAGGCCAGTGGGAAGAGTTCATGAGGGCGGGGGGATGGGGAAAACACTGAATCTGTTCTGACCACATCTCTTCTTCACAGAATTCTGGCTCATTAGAGCAGGAAGGGCCCCTAGGGACCATGTAATCCAATACTCTTGTGAGGAAATTGAAGCCCAAAAGGGAAATAACTTGTTGCTCAAGGCCCTACACTGACTAAGGGCATAAAAGTTCTTCTAGGAAACTGGAAGGAAAAAATTCCATGGAAAGAAACCAAAGTAGTTAATGGGAGTTGCCCATGGCCTAGTAGCTATAGGTTGCATTGTGACTACTGGGCAAAATCTTTCATTCCAAGCCACCCACTCCTCTGGTCCCATAAGAACCACTCTGTAGCCATTCTGACCATTCAGTCACTTACTGCCCCAGAGTGAATCCGATGAACTTGTTCCTGCTTAGCTCCAAGAAGTGCTCAATGTCCTTCTGTCTGAGAGGATGGTAGAGAGACGAATCCCAAAGAAGGAAAGAAAAGCAAACCTTGAGAGAGAGAACCTTTCTGGGATCCTACCCCTCCAATTGGAACACTGGAGCATGGAGGAAGAGAATAGCCAATAGAGAGAACTTCAAACCTAGGAATTCTGACTCCTAGCCCAGTTTGTCCTTGAATACATATACCACTCCACCCCGGGTCTTCAGTGATTGAAACCCCAAAGTTCAGGGTCCCTGGCTGTATCAAACCTACCTGACCTTTGGGGCCCAAGGTAGGCCCTTGGGAAAAGCCACCCGCTCAGCAGAGAGAGGTGCCTGTGAGGGTGGAGGTGGCATCAGAGGGTCCTGCTCTAGCAGGTCTAACTCTCCATCCAAGGTTCGCTCTCCATCACCAGCAGACTCCTCTTCCTCCTCTGTGGCTGGTTCCTCAGTCTTAAAGAGATCTCTTTCATTGTAAATGTCCAGGCTGTCCTGCTTAGTAAGAAGTTGCTGGGGGTGGGGAGAGGAAGGTATGCAGAGATCTCACCCTGGGCATCCTTGTCTGTGGCCACCCTCTACCCACAGACTGTTAGAATTCAGGAAACTTGGAGTAAGAACCCAGCTTTTGTGAGTCTATCCCCTTCCTGCCTCAACCCTACTCTCCCCATCAGGCCCGATCCCAGGACAAGCAGCTCTCAGACAACCATGCCAACAGACAGGGAACAGAGCATAGATAATCCCAAAGTCATAACTACTTAGCTTTCAGAAAGAACTGATGCCATTTTTTTTTCCCCCAGCACTTTCCTTCCTAATTATGCTCTGCTTAAGTGAGCATTCAATTACTTTGCCTTCTGTGGGCATATACCAGCTGGCTGACTGAGGAAGAAGAGGACAGCAGCTTGCTGCTAGGCAGAGGGAAGCAAGTTTGGAATTTTAAATCTTGTCACAGAAAGAAAAAGATTGGACAGAAATAGGCCAAAAAGTTAACAGTCACTGCCTCTGGTTGTTAAGATTGTGGGTGATTCCCCCCCCTTCCTCTCATTTTATATTTGTTCCAAATTTTCTATAATGAGTAAGCATTACTTTATAAAACAAAAAATGAAGGTTAAAGAAATCTCACTGAAGATAATGTAGGTTAGATAACTGAGTGTGACTGTCTGGCCTTGACATCTATAGTTGGTGAACTCAGGTAGATCAGGCAGGTGAGTTCATGGAAACATGGTGAGGTCTCAGTGCAACTTGTCATTTTGACCCTTCCAGAGATGTAGACTATACCTAGAACCCTAACCTGTCATGTCTCAAATGTAAGCCTTTTGTTCCAGGGCCAGGCAAAAGTGTCGTTGACTCAGAGTAAACTTTCTTGCTGCTGAGAAAATAGGAAAGTGCCTCACACCCAGATATATGGATTTTCTGGGAGACCTGTTCAGGTGCCCTGGGTCCCTATCCCCAAGATTATACCCTAACCTAACTCTTGTTCTGGGTGCTAAAGAACTCCAGGTACTGAGGTCCAGGCCAATGACCCTGTAGCAAGACATGTATCTATAATGTGACATTACAGTGTTACATCATGATAGCCTAGGAGCTGTCAGAGCTGGGGGATAGAAGCCAAAGTATAGACTCTAGGTTTCAGGTTGGTCACAGGGCCAACCAGGGGATGAGCTGGGTCATTTACTGTCCTTTCCTACCACATCCAAAGTGGCTTAAAATCTTGATTTTTGGACAGCTAGTGTCCCAACACTGCTGTCTGCTTTAGTCCATACCCTTCGAGAACCACGGCGGCCTCGCAACTTGGAGGGTGGTGGTGCCAGCTGAGATTCCCCCAGGTCCAGAGTGTAAGAGGGCGGGGAGGCAGCACGCATGCTCTTCACCACCTGGATACTGTCCTCGGCCAGTGGTGGCAGGCCCAATTCTGCTCGCTTCTGTACTTTGAGAGCCTGTAGATGCTCAAATCCACCGAGGGTAAACTAAGGGGTAAACAAGAAAGGGACAGAGAAGAGAGAGGAAGGGAGGGAAGTCAGAGAGAGTAAGGTCAGGAAAGCATGGATGGAGACAAACAACCACAACCTCCAGTCCCCCTCAGACCCTATCCTTATATTAGGAAGTAATAAAACAGGAAGGGGCAAATGTGGTTACTAGTCTGAGGAACTCAGGCATCAGGATAAAGCATTATGTACTGACCCAGGGCTGGAAATATCATCAGAAATTAGGAAAGGGACGCCTAAGGGCCTCCACTGAAAAAACAGGAAAATGTGTCTCCTTCTTTTAAGGAACACATCCAGATGCTAAACTCCCAGTCACTCAATTTCCTCTGCAGTCATGGGGGAACTGCCTCTTGAAGTTGGGGAGCTTTAAGAGGCAGTTCCCCCTATGAAGCCAGTCCTGTGGGGTGGGAGACAGAGATGAAGGATCAGGTTGAATAATTAGTAACAACTACCACCATACATTTATAAGGACTTGATACTTGTTGTTTCTTTAAGGCAAATCCTCTGTTTATCTGGACGGAGGGCAGGCACTAATCCTCGCATTTTATAGTTAGAGAAATTGAAGTGCAGAGTTGCCCAAGGTTGTCAGTATGAGATGAGGCCAGATTTCCCAACTCTTACCAGCGTTCTTTCCACAAAATATCAGTTCTATCAGGGGAAGATGCAATGACACCCCAATTCATAGAGTGGCATCTCTTTTCAATCCAACAGAAATGGATAACCTGCTCTAACAGAACATCTGATTTCTCTAGGACAGCCTTGTCGCACCTCCATTGGCTAACAGGTGCCCTAGTCTTCTGCCTAGTTCCTGCCTACAAAATCAGAATAGAAGAAACTGAGGTAGCAGAGGGTACTGCTGATCTGATGAGTTGAGAGTAAGGAGAATGAACCACTCACCATGACCACCTTCCAGAGCAGAAGCAGGACCTTCTTTATGGGGAAGTGGGGAGCCAGGCCACTGCAGAACTTGGTAACCATGGAGAAAAGCAGAAGGGCAAAAGGCTCCTCTTTATGCATGGAGAAGCCTGGAGGGTGTGGAGAAAGGCATATGAGAAAGTGAGGATGAGGTAACTGAAAACCTGCCCCAATAGTCCTGATTCTGGATGCACTCACCACCTCTAAAGAATTGAGTACTTGGTCCTGAGAAGGAGGCTTAGGGAGTCCCCAGAGGGAAGCCCCTCAAGGGCAGGAAGTGAGGCCATGGAGGTAAAATGGCTCAGCTCCCAAAGCTTGGGGTGGATACCAAACTAAAAGTAACAGTAATAAAGATGTTACTTTCTGGCTGAAGGATTCAATGCATTTTGTGGATCACAACTCACATTCCCACATCAATGAATCATATTGGCTTTCATATCTTATCCCTCTCCAATGACACCAACTTACATTTGAACAGAGTTCAGTTTTCAAGGTGATTCAACTCATTTTTTTCACATGGGATTCATGATAGAATGGGACAGGGATGCCTTTCCCCATTTACAACCAAGGGAATTATGGCATAGAGAAGATATTTGACTGGTCCTAGCTCACAGACACAGGGCAATCAAGGCAGGACCTCACGCCTGCTGTGCCATATCTGTCCTAAAAAGATGTTAATTCAGGAAAAGAAAAAAAAAGGCTGCCTTTCTCTCTTAGGCAGATGTTATGCTTCCCTTCCACCACCGGCACCCCATCCTCACCCTTCCTTAGGGCCACTTCTTACTCAATTCAGTGCGGAAGGTCTCCCGGGCTGTCCTCCACCCGCAGGAGTCTGTTTCTCGCTCCAGGCGGATATTTTCCACCATTAGGTACATGACACTCAGCAGCACCCTGGGATTATAGAAGGGTCACAAGAGGTGCCCAAGGCAGCTCCCAGCCTATAATCAGGGACCTCAGTGGTAGTCTCTGGAAGCCCAACCCAGTTGAATTAGCAATTTCTAGTGGTCTGGGTACATCTAGAATTTGAGCAAAGAGTAACCCATTGCTGACCATCCCATTCCAATCCCATGGCCAGCCCCACTCACCGGAGCTCTGTGCTATCAGCAATGGAGATGGCTGGTTTCCGAAGAGCACTGCTACAGGCCTGGCTGTTGCTGCCATGGGAAAGAGGGAGAGAATGAGAACCTATAAGGCCTCTTTACTCACTGTGTTCCCACTGATCATACCCACAAACATGAGTACCTGCTATGCCCTGGCTATGCAGCTATAAAGAAATTGGTCTAAGGTAAAGGAGCCCATAGAATTCCTCTGCCACCTCAGCAAATCTTTATCTGTGGTGAAGATGGGCAAGGGCAGGGTCTGTGATATTCATCTGTGATATTCACTCCTCTTGAAATCCCCACTGTGGCTAGTACTGTGCTGGATACAAAACAGATGCTAACCAACACTTGATGAATAATAAACAGGTTGCACCCTATCTAAAACTCCTGGGTGATAGATGTGAAACAAAATGAGGATTCGATACAGTGCTAGGAGCAGATAAAGCCACCTCTGGAGCTATAACCCATGAGGGAAAGAATTGGGCACATGATAGGAATTCTTCCTGTCCCTCTTGGGTCAGGTTCTCAGCCAGAAAAGTTTTCTTCATGGATTCCAGAGTTAGGCTGAGATGTTTGGATAAAAAGACAACCCACCCAAGATAGGCCCCTGAAAGCCCAGGATTGAAGTTGTAAGTGGGGCAGAAGCAGCTGATGAGCCCAACCTTAGGGAGGAGAACAGAATATCAGAGAATATGGCTGAACGGAGGGGAACTGTCTCTGTAAGCGATGGACTGAGATGTGAATAGACCCAGATCCACATAGGGGTCTCGAAAGTAAGGGAATCAGCATAGGACATGAGCACCCTTCAAGGAAGGGGGTTATCTAGGCCAACCCTCCCCTAAGGCTTCTCACTCGATTTCCATGTGGAGTAGCTCCAAGAACGCCGAGAAGGTCCCCATCTGATAGAGCAGGAAGCAGTTGTACCTGGACCAGTGTAGCACATCGACCTCTGAATCACATTCCCCAAAGGTGCCTAAAGGAACAGACAGTGCCATAGGGTTGAGGGGGAGGGGTTATCTCAGTTCTTTCCACCCTGCTCCATGATTTTAGGACCATCTTCCAACATCCTGTGCAACAATCAGACTGACAAATGTAGGGCACAGGGCCCCCAGAACTTTCTGGAATGAGGCAGGGGAGAGGAAAGACAGACTTCAGGGTTAGGTCCAATGTGCTCATCAATGGCCTATTTTAAGTATGAGTTCTCCGAGAAGTAGATCCAGAGATGAAAATTCAACTACAAGCATTTTGTTTAGGAGTTGATCCCAGGAACCATCAGTAGAGAAGTGGGGAAGTGATATAGGGAAGAGAAGGCAGCCAAGAGCTCAATCCCAGGTAGAGGGGAGCTCTGGGAAACAGTATAAACCACACAACTCAGAATCATCTTACCCAAGAGGTACTTGGGCTATTTATCCACTAACTCCTGTCAGTCACTGAAGAGTGCTGCTGGACTAGGGGAGCACATTAATTCCCCAGCACTCCTCACTGCCCTATGGTGGGGCAGAGAAAGCCCTCAGGAAAAAAGATGAAGGTACTGGCACCTGGAAGTTGGTCATAGCACCAGACCCAATAGATATGGTTGGGCACTGACTTGTTTGCTATAGTCTTCCCGTCATATAATGTCCACTCTCTCTCCATTTATGATTTTTATAGTTTTTTAGCTCCCAACTAGTTAGTTCTGCCAACAGTCCTCTTAAATATAATTTCACGGTTAATTTTACTATTCCAACAAGGCTATCTTATTTCTCTTTCCAACACCTGGTAATACTTCTCTTCTGGAAAACTTTCCTCAATTAATCTCACTGAGTTCTGATTATCTTCAAATTACTCACAGCATCCATTCCTGCTGCTATTTTGGCTTGAACTTTCTAAATGCCAACAAGAAACAATGCAGAGGGTCCATATATGCATCTGTGGCATGCCCCTGCCTTCCCTCAGTGTCAGGGGCAGGTCACAGATGATAAAAGAAACCTCCATGCTCAGCTGGTAGTACACTGTCAGCTCTCGCCACACTGACACTCTTGCTAGTCTCAATATGATTACAGCCCAGGTTAAGGAAAAGAGGAGCTATACAAAATCCTGATATGCCTTGTAAGATAAAGGCCGATTCTAAGGGATCCAGAAGAGTACCTATTACCATCTCCTCATCTTCTTCATAAGCACCAGGTTACTCCTAGCACAGGACAAGATCTGTCCTTGAAAGGCAGGGACCTTGTTTTCCCAGTATGACTTGCCTCATCCTACTCCTGATAACACCATTTTTCTCATAAAGCTGGCAAAGGTGATCACTCACCTTGGGCCAGGTAGAGAACAGCTCGGGCCACCTTTAGTCGCTGCTCTCTACTGACCACCTCCAGCCGGTCCAGGAGTCCCATCACATAGGCCTTCTGGGAATCTTCCTCCAGCTCCAGCCACTCCTTGCCCTGCACTGGGGACAGGCCATATAGATCCAGTGTCAGCTGCTGCCTCTCCTTCCTGGAAAAGCTCCTGATAGCAAATCCACCTCTAATTTCAGCCCACTACAAATTCTCTTCAAAAGCTCTCCTTATTTAGATAAGAAAAAATAAAGGATGGGAAAAGTGAATGATCCAAAAAGTTTTTGCCTGAACCCACTCTGCTGCCTCATCTTCTTCTACATCCCCTCCACCCTCCACACATAGCCTATACTGTTCTATATCTCTGCCTTTCTTCAAGCTGTTCCCTCTGTCTTCCTACATATGAATTCCTATTAATCATTACAGATCAAATACAAAATTACCTCCTTCCCACAAATGCTCCTGCCAGAAGCTTTGTCCCTGAAAATACCTTTCACTTCTAACACTTAACCATTTCCTCTTGGCCTGAATTAGTTTTGTGATATACACATCTCCCCTTTGCTATCTAACTACAATCTCTTTGAAGGCACTTCAAATTCACTCCTGCCTCCTGCATCTCTGGAATAGAACAGGATACTCACCACACATTTGTTGAGTTGAAAATTGAATTGCGACTGACCAAATAAAGAAATGGAGGTCTGAGAGAATCAGTGAGGACACATGAAATTATTATTAGATGCTATTAAGAGTGAGGCAGAGTTGGAAGCAGGGGTTGAACATTAAGGTCAAAGACTAGGCTAGGCACAGGGGTTCTCCCAGGCAGCAGGGCACCAGCCAACCCCACTTCCCCATCCCTCTGCCCCCTTGGCCCTTTACATCAGGGAAAGGAACCCAGCTCAGGTTTCTCTTGCTTCCACTCCATGGGTTCTCCACCTGAGATATAGGAAACTCTGTCCCATATGCAAGACGGGATAGAGAAGTTATTGGTTATGGAGAGGATGAAGAAGGATCATACTTTGCTTCAGTTTTTTTCTAGATCAGATGGGGATATCATGAAGAAAAAAAGCAAGTCTCTACAAATAAGGGTCTGGGGTCACCTTGAGTCTTGAAATCTTCTTCAAAGCACCTCCTGTTAGTGGTGAATTCCAAGTTTTCAGTGTAGCTATATAATTCTGTGGCAGAAAAGATAGGACAGAGTCACAAGCATTCTATTGACCCTTACTGAAGGGGTCTGAGGTAGAGAGGGTGGCATGAAAGAGCTAAAGCTTCCAATACATTCCTGTGTCCAAGTCAATCCAGAGCTAGCTTCCTCCCTTTTGGAGCAGTTAAAAATAGCCACTTGTGTCCCTGGGTGATTAAACCATCAAACCTGTCCTCCTCCTGCCAGCTGGCTGCTACAGAAGAAAAAGCAGGCTTCAACATTTCGTGAGGGCCAGGAGGAGGGTTGGAGCTAAGAGGGCTTAATGTTATCACTCCTATTTCTTAGGGCTGCAACCCCTTCTGCTTGTCGACCCACAATGGGACTACCCTGTCTCTAAGAAAGAGGAGGGCAACACAGCTCCTGAAATTTAGAGGAAAGACCTTTGTGCTAGTCAAGGAGCCAGGGTGAGGGCTGGAGAATATGCATTAGATGGTTCTTTGGGGTTGGAGAGAATGCATTCTCTCCCTGCTAAGTTTCCCCGAAGGGTATAGAAGTTTAGGTTCCTGCTCACAGCCACCTAGGCAGAGATAGCATCAAACCATGTAGAGCAGCTATGGTTGCCAAAGGGCTGCCTGTGTCCAGGAAAATCTAACTTCACTAACAGTAGTCTCTCAATAAAAAATGCTTATGTGAAATAAAAATGCCCTTTCCCCCTCCATATACACACACTCCAGAAAATTATTACCAGTACCCTCATCTTACAGAGGATGAAGAACTGAAGTTGAGAAATCAATAGGTATTAAGACAGATTTCCTTAAAACCCTGTTCCCTAACTGAGACCTTTGCTGAAAATTTAACTAGGTCACAGATAATTCGCAAAGCAAGAGAAATTCACTTCTGTTACAGCCAGCTGTCTAATGGTTGAGAAACACCTTGTCTGGGAGCCAGGGCTGCTTTTTTTTTTTAATTTTGAGAGAGAGATGAGAAACATCGATCAGTTGCTCCCGCATGTGTCCTGACCAGGGATCAAACTGGCAACCTGGGTATGTGCCCTGACCGGGAATCAAACCTGCTACCTTTTGGTGTACATGATGATGCTCCAACCAACTGAGCCAAACTGGCCAAGGCTGGGAGCCAGGGCTTTTGAGTCCTGAGTTCCAGAATCTCGGAGTTACCGGAAGTAAGTCCCATCTCTCAATCTTAAATTCTTCAGTCATTATTGGGTAGTGTGTGTGCGTATTTATTTAAGAGTAGAGAACAAACCCAGTCAGAAAAGGGAACAGCCTCTTAGGTACTAAACTTTGTTTTTGTTTTCAAACTTTAGATCATGAACTTTCATTTATAGATATATATAGACTACAAAGAAGACATCTGTGTATCGTTTACCCAGATTAAACAAATATGAACACTTGTCATATTTGCTTCAGACATCTAAAGTTCCCTCTTCCTCTCTAGTCTATCTTATTTCCCTCTCTAGATGTAACCACTATAATGAAATTGGTCTGTATGCTTCACATGCCTATTTTTATTCTTTTATTACATATGTGCCTATAAATAACATGCTGTTTTAAAAGTTTTTATCCAAGCAGTATCCATCATATTGTATAAATTATTTTTTCTTAGAAACTTTTTTATTATGTGTCTTTCTATAGTTTCTTACAAGAAAAACATGATGAACACATCCATTCACTTTATTGACATGGCTCTCAAACAAGTGTGCGACTGGACTGCCTAGAAACATCTTTTAGACTCATACGTTTAAGCAGCTTGATGCATGTATAAATTATTTTGTCGGTATTTCTTTTCTCCCTTCTACATTATGTTTTTAACATTTATTAATATTGAAACATATTGATATAGGTCAATTATTTTAATGACTGTAGATTGATATACTAGTTTATTCATTCCCCTACTAAGTTGTTTACCATTTTCCACAATGGCTGCAATAAACATCTTTGTACATGTTTTCTTGTGCCCAAGTGTTTTTTTAAAGTATACATCTAGATCACTGGGTCATAATAAGTGTGCATCTTCAACTTTGCTAGATATGACCAAACTGCTTTCCAATTTTATACTCTGTTTCCTTATGCCAAGCAGTGTATAAAAACACTCATTTCTCTGCACCCTCACCAAGCCCAGGCTTTTAAGTTTTGCAATTTGATGAATGAAATATAATATTGCATTATTTTCATTTACTTTTCCCCATTTACTAATGTAGTTGAGCATCTTTTCATGTATTTATTGACTGTATATTTTATAAATTCCTATTCATATTCTTTGACCACTTCTCTTTTGATCACTTCTCTACTGGGTGGTTCTCCTCTTCTCTCTCTCCCCCACCTTCTCCCCTGACATTCTGTATTCTAATCTTTTGTTGGTTATTAAACTTAGCTCTCTATTTCTGTCACTCATCACAAAATTTATTCCCTGTGCTTATTCACAAGAACTTCTTTAAAAACATTTGTCTCTTTTCTTTGAAAAAATCATGTCTCAAAGTGTCACTTCCATGTGACAGAATATTTAACTTTCACACCATCTCCATCCAAAGCTCATTTATTAATAACTGGCATTCACAGCATGTGTAACATGGAGGCCCTTAATGTGAGGACATCACATTTAGCCTAACCTTAAAAATCCAGAGAGAAACAGCCCAGCACTGAAAAAAGAATGGGATCACTTAACTCCAGCTCAGAAACATCCAAACACAGCTCCACTCTGATGGCTATAGGTGACATGCCCAGCCTTGCTCAGCTGGCCAGCTGTATATAGAATTTTTCTTCACTGCTGAGATTTATTTAAGGGGCAGGTGTTAGGGGAAGGCAGCAAGACAGAGGTAGAAGAGAAAAGGAGAGAGGGTGGAATAGAGAAGGAGAAGGTGGCAGGAAGAAGGGGGCATGCAAAGATGTGGGCAAATATGGGAAGAGAAAGAGAGGAAAAATAGGAGAATGTGGAGAGAACAGATTTGAGAGTGCACCAGAAGAGAATAAAGAGGGTAAGCAGAAAAGAGTGACAGAATGAAAGAATGGAGAATACCATAGCCAAGGGAGAATTCACAGAAAGAAATGTGAAAGCGAACAAAGAGATCTTTAGCACTGGAGGGTGGAGAGAAGAGGGAATGTGGAGAACAGCCCTTGTTCTATAGCCACTTGTTGAGAACAGACAAGCTGCCAAGGGAGGTGACAAGCGCCTTCCCTCTCCCTCCTGGCCATCTTCCACTCTCTACAGACCCATCTACCTCATACCTGACAACTCTGCTGCATGCCCATCTGCGTCTCCATACTCAAATTCCAGAGTGGGGCAGTCCACAGAGCCCTGCAACGGAGAAATCTTTGAGGTAACTTGGGGAAAGGGTTGACAAAAGAAGATTATACCCTCATTTCGCTTTCGTCCCCTCTTGGAGGCCAAGGTTAGAGATCAGGGAGGCAGCTAGGAGAGTCCCATCTGTGCCTTTCATCTAACCTCCTACAAGCCTAAATTTGAGGCTCAGTGCAGAGTGGGGCTCAAGATTCCTACATAGAATCAGAAACTCTGGGTAAAGGGCCAGGATGGAGAACAGATAGGAAAGCTACAATCAGTGCCCATATCTGATCTATATACACAAAGACCAGAAAAGCATCTGGCTGATCTTTAGAAAAACGAGATGGACAAAAACAAGAGGTGAACTATGTTCTAACTTCAGTTCTGTCAGTAACCCACTGTATGATTTTGGGCAAATATCATTCTATGGATCATAGTTCCTCATCTGTAAAAAGAGGTCCTTCAGCTCTAATGTTCCAAACTTTAGGATTGTCAAATAAGGTAGCATTTCTACTCCAAGTTGTATTAAAAACTAGATTTCCTATGATGGTGTATATATAAATTAATATAATCCCCTAACCTCTTTAAGCATTTTGGGGTATTTCCTACCAGTATATATTAATATATCTGAGTTTTAAAATTTTGAATCTCAGCTCTGTAACATACTCTGTCGCACATTATGTGATCTTGAACAAATTGCTTAACCTCTCAGTGTGGTATAAAAAAATATATTTGGCCTTTTCCCCCCACCCCCCTGCCATTTCTGGCACAGAACTCCTAAAATCTCTGGAATTTCCTGAGTGATGGGAGTGTCTGTTATTCATAAGGAGCCTTGTCAACCATACTTGTGTTTAAGCTAATGAGGTGACTCAACATGAACCCAAAGGGAGTTTCAAAGGAGGGGCTGGCCCTACCTCCAGGGAGAAAGGAGGCTGGAGATTGAATTCAATCAAAAGGCCAGTAGTTTAATCAGCCATGCCTAGGTAATAAAACTTCATATAAAAACCATAAAACAATGAGGTTTGGGCAAACCAACATGCTAGGAGGGTGATGCTCCTGAGAGGGCATGGAAGCTCTATACCTTGTCTTATGTCCCTCTTAATGTGGCTGTCCCTGAGTTGTATCCTTTAAAATAAAATTGTAATAATAAGTATAGCACTCTCTGAACTTTGTGAGTCCTTCTAGCAAATTATCAAACTTGAGGAGGGAGTCATGGCAACCCCTGAATTTGTCCTTGGCCAGGTGGAAGTGCAGGTAGCCTGGGGACCCCACTTGTGGCTGGTGTCTGAAGTGGGGGCAGTCTTGTGGCATTGAGCCCTTATGGTCCGGTAGTGTCAGAACTGAATTGAATTGGTATGAGGGAATTGTTGGAAAATGACATACTCACTTTTCTCATCTGTAAAATGAGGATAATTCAGTGTCATTTTAAGAACTAAACGAGTTAATATAGGAAAAACACTTAGCACATCACCCAGCACTTGGTAGAACTATGTAGGTGGTTACTCTACTCAGAATTTTACTTATTCTATTTACAATTTTAATATCATAGCATAAAGGATTTTTCTCATATTATTATGACTATCACCTTAAGCAGTTAAGTGGACAGGTATATACTGGTTTACTTAACCAGTTTTCTATTGTTGAATATTTAAGTTTCTAATTTTTCTTTACTTTATGCATGAAGCTGTAATACATTTATATATTTTTTTCATATTTAGCATCTTTCCTAAGGATAGATTCTTATAAAAGAAATTAATGCATTAAACCACATAAATATTTGTATGGCTCCTTGAACATGACAAGTTGTTTTCCAAACACACTTTATCACAATTTACACTGCCACCAAGGCAAATCATGTTTAAATCCACTATAACAAGAATTTTCCAAACTTCTGGATTACAGAGATCAGTAAGAAAAAAAAAATGTGGAGGGTAGGGAATGATATAAGGTTCTTGCTTTATTCTGATAAGTAGAGACTTAAAAAAATCTTCTAAAAAAGAAATAACAGTTAAATACCCCCCAAAAGGAAAGGACACACTATCAGAGTAAGACTCATTAAAAGCAGCGTTCTGCAGATTTTTTAGGGTATAAATCAAAGCATAAATAAACTTTACATCATGTCCCAACACACACACACACACACACACACACACACAAACTGGAACAAAAGTTTAACAAAATATATTTACCATTACTGTATGTGATAGATATATCATAATGTTTTCTATTATTCTATTTTTAAAAAATACGTTCTTATTGATTTTAGAGAGAGAGGAAGGGAGAGGGAGGGAGAAACATCGATGCAAGAGAGAAACATGGGCTCGTTGCCTCCCGTACACATCTCTACCGGGACCAAACCCACAACCTGGGCATGTGCCTTGCCTAGGAATCCAACCGGCAAGCTTTCAGTGCAAGGGACAATACTCAGCCAACCGAGCCACATGGGCCAGGGCCTTTTTTTTAAAATGTTGGTCTCAACTTGCAAGTTACCCCCTACAGTTAGAAAAACACTGTTTTTTAAATTGCATACATCCTTTAAATTCAATGTATCGAAATTTATTTTATGAATAACTTTCTTTCATTTATTTTATGAATAACTTTCCTCATTTTGCCACAAACTTTGTCAAGGATTTTAGGAACCAAGTAAACCGGTGGATCTGGCTGAAAGAGGCCTGAGGTGAATCCTTTGGTAAGTTAAGAATCTTTTTATTAAGCAAATGATTATTATCTAACTTTCTTTTTAGGTTGGGAAGTTCATACTTAAAAGTCATTGTGAAAGGGTAGGTCAACAGTGCCCCCTATAAACAGTGACATGTATGGAGGAGACTCTCTTGACTTATGCCAAATAATTCTTTCAGTAATTCTTTAGAACCCCTAGAGAGGAAAGAAAACCATCTCTCCTGAGGACTATTTCCCACAGGAAAGCAAAAGGAGGGAGGGAAGGAAAAGCAGATGGTCATCTGAGTCTGGCACCAGGGTGTTGTGATACTGACAAGCAGAAGCAGCTCTCCTGCTGCAGGAGAAGGTAGAGGAAAGCTAATCTTTCCAGCCAGCCTCTTGGCAGGCAATGAGCTCAGATAGAGAGGATCACTGCAGTTGTTCATTTCAAAGTATGACAAGTGCAGCTGCAGGCAATCAGGAGGTAAACTGCGGTGCAGGTGGAAAGCTCTGAGTCTCTGGATACTGAACTCACTGGCAAAGGTAAAGTATATCAGAGCCTCTTCCTAAAACACTTGATAGGTAGGGACAAGGCGTCCGATGTTAGGAGGAGTTTTAAGTCCCTCAAAGAACACATCCTTCTGAAATTATTTTATTTATTAGCATATTGTCTGTCTGTCCACTCCCACTAGAATGTTAGCTCCACAAAGCAAAGACATTATCTTGTTCATGGCTGTATCCCTAGCACCTAAAATAGTGCTGGGCATATAGGATGACTACCCTCCTCCCCAATATACCAAATTTGAGTAAGAACAATGTCTCTATGGGGAAAGGAAGCAAAGGGTACCCTAAAAGGCCAGATTGGTACTGAGGCAGGGGGGAAGGTGATGTGGTGGCCAGAACCCTGCTTGATTTAGCAAGGCAGGAGGGCTGAGCTCTGCTTCTGAAAGGTGGTGTGATTTGGGGCCAGTCTTTTCACCTCCTCTACTTCTCTCTTTTAAAAAATGGGATGGGCTCCTACACTGTCTGTATGAAAATGGAAAACACACATGAAACCCCTTTGGAAACTGTGAGATACTATTCAAATGGTAAACCCTGGACTGAGATGCTTAAGACCTGGGCCCCAGTACCAGCTCTGCCCCTTGATGATGGTGACATACAGTACTAAGAGCTACTCTGAACTGACCCATTACATGCGCTGTGCCTGCACTGCATTAAATATTTCACATTCAATTATCTCACTTTGACTTTATTACAACCTCCCGAGACAGATAGTGTTAACCTCATTTTACAGATGAAGAAACTGGAGCTCCTAGAGGTTTGGCAATTTGCCAAAAGTCACACAGAAAATAAATAGGCTGGGATTCAAAGCCTGGTCTGGCTGACTCCAAAGCTTGGTGCTCCTGGGCACGAAGCCAGATGTATGATCTTGGGCAAGTTACTTCTGTCTCTTTTACTTCTGCAAAACAAAGGGCTAAACCCAACTGATCTCTATGAACCCTTCCACACCTGACACTTTTCGAGGCCTATCCTCCGGGTCCCGGCTCAGATCCAATTCTACTCTGGGCTAGTTGACGGAGACTGGCTGGAGGAGGGCAGTGGGGGAGTGATGATAATCCAAGCCTTTTATCCTCCTGGCCAGGCTTTTTAATTTTTTTTTTCCCCATAAGAGGAAGCGACCCAAACATTCATACTCCTATGTGTGGGTTTGTATCCTAGGACAGCCCCATCTACTCACTCCGGTACTGCCCCCGCCAGAATCCTGTCTCATTAACCCTTCCAGGCAGGGGTCCTGACGACGGTGGAAGGCACTCCCTAAAGAGCCTGCCAACACACCCGGGGAAAGGGGGAGGGCAGAAGCACGCGGCACGCAGGGTCCGCTCGGCTGGGGCTCGGGGAGCCCTGGGGCGGCCGGGCAGCTGCCCCCAGCCACCTCCTCTTTACTGCGGCGAAGCTCTGGCCTCTCACCTCTCAGGCCAATCACAACCTCTCGGCGCCTGTTTGCTCCTCTGTAAATGGAAAATACAAATTCCCACCTCAAGGAGCTGCAGCTATTAGTGAGATAAATATTTGAAAAGTATCTAGTACGCTCGATAGCGCGCTACATCTCCCAGGGCGGAGGCCGGAGGGCTAGAAGGCCCCCGACCTGCTCGCGGCAGGAGAGGGGTGGAGAGGGGTCAGGTGCTGCACAGCCCAGAGTCCAGAATGCGGCGGACCCCGCAGGCGCCCGCTCTAAGGGGAGACTCGGGGCGCGGGAGGGGGAACCAGACCAGGTCACCTCAGCCACCGCTTCCCCCGGAGGGCATCTCCTGGCCCCAACAGAAGCTCCCGGGGCTCCTCACCTCCGACTCCCGCCGCTGGCTTCTGAACGCTTCCCGGCCCTTAGGCGACGCCTGCTTCCCTTTGCCGCCGCCGTTGCCGTTGCCGTTGCTGTTGCCATTGGCGGGCGGGCTCCCGGTCCCGGGCGCCACCGGGTCCTCCATGCGGCTCGGGTCAGCGGCTCCCCTCAGCTGCTCCGCGGTCTCTGCCCCAGGCTACCCTGCCGCCGCGCGCCGCCTCGAAGGTCCCACCCTCTCAACAGCTATTGGCTGCGGCCGCTGC